CTGTGAAGCGCTTTGAACTGTTTCGATGGTGTGATAAGGTGCTATTATGAAATGCAAGGATTATTATTATTATTATTATATGCTGTTATTAGCACACGAACGCACCATTCTCTAATGACTAGAACAGGTTGCCAGAAAAGGTGGTAGAAGCCAGGACACAGGTGTCATTCGAACAGCAATTTGAGGCAATGATGGTGGGGGGGGGGACGGTACGGTGGGTGTTCAGAAAGGATGAGATTGGATGGGTCGAATGGTCTTCTTCACCCAGACCAATTGGTGTTTTTGTGATCTATTTTTGTGAGCGCGGAAATCTCAAATCTAATTTGAAAACGGTCAATTACCTACTGAAATGTCACCAATTCGTCATGTTTTCATCCCATTGCTTCCAATGACATGACCTTGCCAATACTGGGCTGTGTCTTTATTGAACGCCATTGTTTTCAGGAGAGAAGGGTGCAATCTCAAAATGTTTCAGCGCGTGCAGAGAGATGATACAGAGTTGGGTTAAGGTAAATAACTTGCTTCTCGTATTGCATTTCAGGCATTTGATTTTGTAGGCCACTGGATTAGGAAGCATATGGGCTGAAGGAATAAAGATTAGACTTATTTTAGTAAGCCGTTTAGAATTTGAAATGCCCAGTGACTAGTTGACACATTAAACATGTAGGGTCTAAGGTTAGACCAGTATTTTGGATGTTGCATAATTTACACAATGTGACAGAGAGAAGCCTTTTCTCAGGAGATTAATATGATTGGATAGAATCCATGAAAGGAGATCTTTGTGTGACCTTATCCCATTGCATGCTCTTCTTTATGTTCACATACTTCATCTGTAGTTCGTTCTATCATAAGAAAGATAATATTGGGATATGTTAAAAGATGGAAATCTCATTATAAACGCACACGCATACCCACCGCACGTACATACACATACACACACGCCAAAGTTGTTATCTTTACAGTGCCCCTTATTACTGCTTCAAGAAACCTGCCTTACTATCTTTTAACACTTCTTGAAATGTCGCAATGCTCTTTACAGGTCAAGCGTGGTGATTGAGTGTTTTATAGGCAAACGTGGCTGCCAATTTGCACACAGCGGAATCCTGCAAATGGCCATGAAATGAATGACTCATTTATCTGCTGGAGAGAAATGGTTTTAAAAGGAAAATATGTGAGCATTATTGCAAAAGTTTCATCTTTTGACATATAAACAGAGAACTTCAGGGACGTAGAACATTTACTCTTGGACTTTATTGCAACAATAACATCAACGACAACAACTTGCATTTATGTAGCGTCTCTCACGCTGGGTAGTGGCTGAAAGCGCGGCCAGTAATGGTGGAACAGAGTATTGCGGTATTTGGAATTTGATCTTGTACAGAGAACCATCAGGAATACTTTAGTGCAGGGACTGCTTCTCTTACATAGCTTGTATATTAGACTGTGAACTAGCGAATGACTACTAAAGGATTTTAAAATATACTTACCTGAGTCCTTTTAGGTTTACATTGCCTTCTTATATTATAGTGAATGTTCTTGTTCCTCCTGTTCTGTTCATTGTAAACAAGAATCATCCTGTAGTGATGGCTCTGGTTATTTTTATGTAAATATCACAAATCCGTTCAGTTGAGCTTACGTTAGACTAGATCAGGATTTTTTAAAATTCAGTTTCCCTTGATGACCATTACACCCTGTGCTCTTGTCACTGCCAAGACCTCCTCTTAGAGGTGTAGTTCTGGATCTTCGTGACCGACATTCTCATGGACTCTTGCAGATTGATGATCTTGTTGTAATGGCTCCTGTTGTAGTTTCATGTCAGCTGAGCCCTCGACTAAAGGCAAAGGTTCTGACCAGCGCATCCTGTGTGCTGGTTATGATATGTACCTTAGCAGTCTGGATGAAATCCTAATAGCCCACCAATCTTTTTTGCTGACTCTAATGGAGCAAAACTTCGAGCCACCCACTGTTAGAAAATGCAAGACATGGCAAATTATTCTTCAACATTTAGATCATTAAAATAACTGTTCCCTGATGTCATTCACACAAAAATGTCCACCTAATTCCATTGCTACACGTTATTCATCTGACGTGATTAGTGGGTGATCTCCAGCCAAGGGTAAATCACACACACACTGCAGGTTGATTCATCACAGTGCTATTGTAAAAGGTAGAGCACACTTCCTATACTGAACTTTGTAGCTTCCAAGTTCGTACTCCAACTTCCAATAGACTTCACCCAGTTAGTGTATTGACAGACCAGTCTGTTCACACTTGTTCCCCACCTTGTCCTTTGTCTCTTTGATTTCTGAAGGAGGAACCGAGGTCTGGTCCTTTCTCCACAACAACCGAGCTCAATCATGAACCGCTTTGTTGGAAAAAAACATGGATAAAGTTAGTGAATGTAAAGTGAAGTAATGAATCTGAAGAAGCTGGGCAACACGAGTACTGAGTAGAGTTTCAGCAACCCATTTTCGCTGTTACAAAGCGATAGAGCGAGTAATATAACTGTGTGTGGTGAGTATTATGAATTGTACATGGTCTTTGTGTCTCGGAATCAGCGATGAGCTATTTTAGAGGGCGGCCAAGATGTGGGGATTGAAAGTTTGTCATTTCACATCCTCTGTGCCGTATTACATATATTTTACTGTAAATCCCCAATGCACAATAGTAGCTATTAAGGAGGACCCGTAAATATAGTACACCGAAGAGCAACATTACAGTAGTTATAATAGTATACAGTTTACATTTATATCCCAACTTTTATGTCAGGATGACATGTCAATGTGTAAAAAACGTGTATTTTTGTAGGTAAATGCCACTGAAGTTGAAAAGTTAAAATGTATTGTTTCTTCTGGATTCTCTATGTTGTTCTTCAGCCGACTAAAGTGATAATTGTTGATTTAATAGATTTGTGAGACCATTACATTTTTCGCTGTAATACAATTTGTCGCCACTTAATGCAGTAACTATCTCCTGGAGCATTAACAGCTCATTAAGATTTATGGAACCATCTAATGCTCTTCCCTTCATTTCCTATTGTTATGCAATCTACATTTAGTTGTGTAACTCTGTGATGGACTGTTCAAGTGCGTTGTGTGCATTTGGTCATCAGCACAATGATGCCAACACTGCAAGGGTACGTTTGCGGCACAGCAACAACTTAAGTGACTAAATAAATCCATACTTTGGTTTAGAGCTTGATTTCTCCATCTTATACATATATATATATTTTGGTACCTAACTTTTGGTACCTATTCTATGCTCTGGTGCTGCTGATGCTCCCATTGTTAATAATATCAAAATAATAATGCTAACATTTGATATAGAACCTTTCAATGTCAGGAGGATATCCCAATGGTCAGGATACCAGGAGATATTCCCTTCTCTTTATGAATACTGCAATGCGATCTTTAATGTCTACCTCACTTCACGGATTGATGGATACATTTTGAGCGATCTCAATTTCTACCAGCTCAATGCATGAGCTGGAAGTGTCATGACAAGTCTTTCTTAGTAAAAATCCTTGGGAGTTTGGGCCTATATTATGGGATTATTTGTAAATAGCGAATCTTGCAGGTGTATCAATCAGATGTCATTCTCATCATGATTGGGGCAGGAATCAGCACTGAGCGGAGGTTCAGACTCACTATTTACAAATCTGTGCGTGAATTTTGCAATTTAGATCCCACCTTTGTCATTTATTTATTATTATTTCCTTTCTCAGCAGTTACCATTCTGAAAGATTTCATTGGCACTGCCACCTACAGTGCCTTCCAAAGGGGTCTTTGGCTTGCAGGGTAGACAAGAGCTGTGTGAGAAGAATCCCTGGCCCCGCAGACTGATCTGTCCCTCCAGGTCCTGCTGATGAGTCAGACTGGCTAGTCTGTCGTTAGCAATGCCCTGCACCTGCCTGCCCAAGGTCTACCCCTAGAGACATTGCCAGGCTGGCTGGTCTGTCAACAGCAGCATCTTGGATTATTGTGCATGCACTGGTTTAACTGGTTAAACTCCAGCAGTGTACCATCGACATAATCTGATGTCTCCAAGCCTTGGCTCTTGCCAATTTGCCCCTTATGTTCTCAGGATGTGTCCTTCCAAGACAGCATGCGCATTTCGTTCCAGATACAGGGAAATTTCCATGTGTGGGTGGCAATTATATATGGAACTCTTAGTCTGGTTTGGATACTCTTAAGCTTGCCAGACATTGCTCTCAAAACATTGTCTCAAGAACCAGAATGCCGAGACTACCACAGAGGATCGACTCGATTCTGAAATTCTGTGGCCAAGCAACCTTTGACCCTCCCCCACCACTCCCCATGTTGCTTTTTCCTCTATCTTATCACTATCTTATCAGTTTCCTGTATTCATTAAGTCTGGGCCTCTTCCAGAAACAGCAGATCATTGCCGCAGTCAATACGTCCTTTGCACAGGGTGTTTAATGCACTTAGATTTCTCGATTTCCAGGCTGTGCACCATCCTGGCTCAGTTGTGCACCAGCCTGGCTCAATTAGTAGCACTTTTGTCTCTGAGTCAGGTATTTTGAACTCAGTCTCGCTGATACTCCAATGCAGTGCTGCGTTGCTGGCGGTGTTATCTTTTTGAATGAAACGTTTAAACCAAAGCTGTGTCTGCCCGTTCATGTTGACATTGAAGATCCCATGGCACTTTTCGAAAAGAGAAGGGAGTTGAGACGGATCTTGAAGGAGGCATAGGGAGGGGTGAGGTGGAAGGGACTGCGGGGTGGAGTTCCAGAGGGTGCGCGCAGAGTGGCAGAAGGCCTGCCCGCCAATGGTAAGAACTCTATTGGAAAAATGACCGTGAAATGTACCAATGCTTTGTGCTGGTGAACTGTGATGTGCTATCTTTTAGGCTCACAAACAGGTGCTCTGTGCATTGTGATTAATCTGCTGTTATGAAAAATAACAGTTCTTAGATTGTAGTCTTTTGTCTCTACAGTTCAGTATCGGAATTAATGCATCTACTCAACTCTCTGCAGGTAAATGGAAGAACCAGAGGCTAATTTGGTCCAAGTTCGCAAATCACACAAAGTTGAACAAATGGTATCAAAATGGCTCCGACTTACAAGAGATAACTCCCAAAGGTGCGATTCCCATTCGTCTGTTAAAATAGGTGTTTAATAGAAGTTTATTGCTATTTACTGAAATAAAGCTCCCGGAGCTGGTATCAACACGTAGAGTTCTACTTCTTGGTGAACGATTGGATATATAAGGAAACCGATTCATCTTTTTCCTTTATTTCCCACGTGTTAAAGTTCACAAAGCGTTACATCACTTTAATCACTGACATCGGAACAATCCGGCAGCAGCTGGAGTCTGGTGAATAATGCAGGCTGAAATCCACAAGGGTCGGACATTGTCTCTAAACAACAACCAGGGATGATTCCCTTTTTATATCATTACAACACTGTGTATGTTATATACACACACACGTTATCAACAACACATTTTCACTAGATGGTGATCATGATTTTGTACTTCTCTGTTGCCCACATACATGGTGATTTCATTCATTTTGCAAGCCATGGGAATACTATGAACTTCCTACCCTGGCTCATGGCAGTATTGTTTCAGACTATGACTGTCCAGGATACCCAATAACATGCAGCTCAGAAAGATACAGGGAATAATTGTCTTCTAGAGTCGGCACAGAATGGCTGATACACAAAGTGGAAGACACATTCAGTGTTCAGGGTATCAGCGATGGTGGGAATAGAATATTGTGAGTACATCATCCTCAGACACACCAGGCCTGCAGTCCTTGATCATGGTGTAGTATAAAAGTAATAAAAATGCCCCACTTCCAGGCCCTTGATGTGTGGCAACATTTACTAAAACAAAGAAAAGGAGTTCCATGAAATGTCAGGCATCTGCCGGCTGTTCATTACAGTACAGTGTTTAAGACTGCTACCATCTGTTCACTCCCAGTGTAATGGCTTCGATAAGAATGCTGTTCTTTTCCAAACATTTTCCAAATGTGTGACCCATTTAACCAGTTAGTCTTTTGATCTCAGCTTGGCCACAAGCAAACAATAATTGCACTTCTTTGTTATGTCTTAAAAGCTTTTATGAAATATTTATCTGTTCGTTAATCTTGATCTCACGGTTCCTGGAATCTCTCCCACAAAGCATCTATGACAGGTGGACACCAGATTAGGATTTGTCACAGGGAGTAGAGTTGCATTGTCCAAGTGCATAAACACTGAGGTAATATATTCATTGAATAAACTTACTCCTGAATCTTACTTTCAGGTGAGGAGATGGGGAAAGATTTCAATTCAGTGTGTTGTAATCCTGCAATCAAAGAATATTCATTTGCCTATTCTGAATATTATTTTGAATGTACTAAAGTTGAGATGCTGAGATCCATCATAAATGTAATCCATACGACGCAACATTCCCGTTTCCTTTACTGATCACCAAAACACAGACCTGTCTCGAAGCACCACCTTTTGATGCAGAGGGAGATCCAACAGTAAGTCAGTCATACATTCTGACTTGAGAGAGGTTTGAAGTCCTCTGAATGATTCTTTTAAGAAATGCATTAAATAATAATAATAATCCTTGCATTTGATATAGCACCTTATTGTATCTTCGAGACGTCTAAAGCTCTTCACAGAATATACTGTAAAGTGGAGTGACTGTATATTTTGTGGGTGAAACGCGGCAGCCAACTGCGCATAGCAATGTCCCACAAACAGTCATGGATAGACAACGAAGTACATTCTCTACAATAAAGTGTCCATTTTCCCCCTTCGCTATTTTACATTTGTGATACCTGTGATCACCATGATTGCCATATGAATCGCTTTCAGATGCCCTCAAGACGTGAAAGGCGCCACATCAAAAGGAAGGATTGTTATTGCTTGTTATTACAGTTATTACTGTCATTGCTACAATCTGCTTGCCACAGTTGTGGTAGCTGTGATGTGGTGTCAGTTCTCAGTCTGGGGACCATCTCTGACCAGCTATCACCCAACATGGATAGGGAGGCAAGACTTGTTGCTCCTGAAACTTTCTAACTTGGAGCATTATTATCAGATGATCGCAGAAAGTCCCGACTCGAAGCTACTAGATCCTGTGTGGACAAAACATGAAGGTAAGATAAGATTGAAAAGGTTTTATTTTATTTTTCATCTTAGGAATCGAAATACAACTGAAGGAGCCTCAGCCACCACCACGAACCAGTCGAGCTTCCCATTGAAAGTGTCCGTGAGGATTTATAAAGACTCGTTGCTGGAGTATGGATTTACTATAACAGAGGAAACACCACTGTGTGTAAAGTCTGTCACTGCAGGTAAATAAATACCTTTGGAGTTCACAGCAGCCAACCACAGCCACCAAACCCACTTGTGTATTATCTGTTGTCTAATGGACACATTTATATACTTGCTTTCCAGCAGGGTCACTATATCGTGAAACCATACCTGATTCCTACCTACCTCCCTCCCTCCCTCCCTACCACCCACATCCCCACCCTACACAGTGATGCTCCTAACTGGTGTCAGCGAGGTTACGGGTTCAAATTCCACACCAGGATTTGAGATCAGAGCGGAAGATGAAAAGAAAAACAAAACAATAATAATAATCGGTAACTTCAATCCACGACTGTTTGTGGGGACGCTGCTGTGCGCAATTGGCTGCCGCGTTTTGCCCACAGAATATCCAGTCAATTCGCTTTACAGTATATTCTGTGAAGCACTTTGAGACGTCTCGAAGACGTGATAAGGCGCTATATCAAATAATAATAATAATAGTTTTTCTTTTCACATTTTTCTTCCCCGCATTTTTTACTCAAATTCAAAGCCTGTTACTTTTCTGTCTCCTGTTTCCACTCTCCTTTTTTGAGGTGGGAACAACTTTGTGAAAAAAAAACAACCCCCTGACATGTGATCGGTTCCAGGGGCAGTTTTTCCAGCTGGGAAAGAGACAAATGGCAAAATCCCATGATCGGGACTTGTTAAATTTGTTCCTGGCATGTGCGAGCACTGTTGAAGCAGACAACACAGTGTCAATGCTTCCTCTTTATCTCTTCAAAGCACTCATGATTTATCGGCAAGTGCAGATCTGGCTCATCAGGGAATTGCCATCCTTGTTAAGTGATCTTAGGCAGATAGCGACAGCACATTCATCAGCCATAGAAATACACCACCATATTTATCACTGATTAAGGAAGCCAAATGCTTCAGCACTCGATTTGTGCCAAGTGACTTCTGTTTTTCTACCCTTACCCACCTCTACCAGTACCACACAATCAGGGCATTAAAATGTGATGTGTGATGTGAAAATTATCCCTCTAATAATAATAATAATAATCCTGCATTTGATATAGCACTTTTCACGTCGGGAGGACGTCCCAAAGCGCTTCACAGAACACACTGTAAAGTGAATTGACTGTATATTTGTGGGCGAACGCAGCAGCCAATTGCGCACAGCAATGTCCCACAAACAGTCGTAGATTGAAAATGACCAATTTATTATTGTTTTTCTCTTTATTCTGGGACAACTGAGAAGTTGCAACAGATTTGATGATAAGAAAAAACCCCTTTGAGTTCACCGAGCGTTTAAAGCATATTCCCGAAGCCTTGAGTTTTCAGCCCGGGGAGAGATGATCACTGAATCTGACCTGTCTCGTGAGGCTATTATGTTTTCCAGCGTTACATACTTCAAGCCCTGCACGATCAAAGTGTTCAGTGGCTCTGCAAAAGGTAAACCAGTGTGTAATCTTCTGAAAAATCAGCTTAAAGAAATCCCTGGATTCTATTTTGAAAAGGGTTTATTATTGACTGGATAGTTGATGCGTAGAAGGAACATATGCACATTTTAGTAATGTTTGTGATTGCTGCACTACAACAACGATTTGCACTTATATAGTGCCCTCCATGCAGGGTAACATCTCAGAGCACTTAGCAGTAGCGGTGACTGACTTCAAGCCGGGTGGGGAGTGGGAGAGATGACCGTAAGCACTACAGTATTGAAAGGAGATGTGAAATGTTGACAATCCAGCTATCTCAATATCTCTCCCATGTCTTAGATGGTCCTGGCGAAGGGAAGCTGTTCCCGGGAGATCAGATTCTAAACATAAACAATGTGCCGGTGGAGGACATTGCAAGAGAACACTTATTTAACATTATCAGGTAACAATCTCAAAATAACCATTGATAATCACCGAGAAAGACTGTCAAAACTACGAAATTCATAAGTCGACTCAATCAACTGGGGAACAATGAGGCACTCTGTATTACTAGCTGTGCAGGAAGGTCCTGGTGGGATTCAAATTGGGAGTCTTTATCTTTCCAGTTTTAATCGGAATCTGCCTGGTCCTATCAAGATATTCTAAGATAACCAGCAAGTGATATAGCACCTCAAATTCCATTCCATAAATATGGTTTTCGAAAACAATTGTTAGTTCGATGAACAGCATTACTCTGTGTGACCTTTGGTTTTAAAACTCGCTCTTGAAATAAAAAAGAATACAATGTGGTCCTTAAGGGTGAACCAAGGTGTGTCCACTCAGCCTTTTTGAGGCTAATACAATTTCCATGGTTAAAAACAATGATATCTATGGGGAGGTAAATAGTTTTGCTAGGGCTAACTGGCTTTGAGTTAGACTGTTTGATCTGTCACTAGAGAAATCCAGTAATCTGATGGCTGACCAAACTGTTTGGCTTATTGATGATGCTTGGAGTTGTAGACATGTTGTCATTGGGTTGGACAGCCCTATTTGTATAAGTACTATAAAACGCACCAGTGATTTTTACTGGAAAGCTATGCAGACATCATTATAGTTTGACTAAGAGTAACTGCCTTAACCTGAGAACTGTTAACTAGTGGAACAAGTTAATGCAAGAATGGGGAATACGAAAGCAGTTGAAGCATTCATAAAGTATGCAGATTGCAGATCCCTGGGAAGCAGACTTACATGGGAGAGGCAGGAGGACAAGAGGCGGTGAACCTGTCTGAGTGGGTGGTGGCGATGGATCAAATGAGCTGCGTCGGACAAATAGCTGTCTTGTTTCTGTATTCTTATATTCTATTGTTTATTGCAGTGAATGTGGTAACTCTCTTGCAGTCACTGTATTGCGATATACCACTGTGAGTACCACCCGTCTTATTCTTATTCATTGGTGATAATGTTGTAGTGCATGAAGTCAGATACTAAGCCCTTGAACTGCACAGGAATATCGACGGGTCTGAAAATGGGCCTAATCTGCCGTTATAATGATCTGAGTGGCAGGTGACCATTGAGACCTGAGATGAATGGGTTTAGTTATGATGAAACGCTGGGTACACTTGGGTTCTGTTACTTACAGCTGAAAAGGTTAACAATAATAATCCTCATGTTTGATGTACCCTTGCGCCTTGTCACATGACATGTCCCAAAGTGCTTCACAGGATTTACTGTAAAATGTAGTGACTGTGTATTTTGTACACAAACATGACAGCCATTTGTTAACTTGTGACCTGATAGAGTCATTCAAAATAACAAGGGAAATTGACAAACTAGATAAGACACAACTCTTCACTCGACTAACCAGGTCCAAAAAGTAGCGGTGATAACCTTAGAATTAGACCCAAATGGTTAGAATGAGATCAGAAAGCATTTGTTCACGAAAAGGGTTGCGATATGCATTGTAGATTGGGAATGTTTACAAGAGAAAAGGTGGGGAAACGGTGTTAAACGTTATTGCCTGATTTAATGGACTGGGAAACTGGTTCAACAGACTAACTTGGCTTCTCCTGTGCCCATAGACCAATTATGTCAACGCTATAAACTTAAATCGGGAACTTCCGACCACCTCACAGTTAGCATAATCGGAGCAAAATGACAGGGCAAAGGGCAGATACATTATTCTGTGTTGGAAAGATTAGGAATGTAGTTCTGCAAATACAGTCTGTTCCGTTACATAGCACGCCACAATTAGAACCGTAGTTTCAGTGAAATCACCATTTGACATTGTGCTTTATGTCTATTTTCAGGGCCCCAAGTCATCTTTTCTTACTGAGGAAAAGCGGGCAAGGCTGAAGAGTAACCCTGTCAAAGTTCGCTTTGCTGAGGAAGTGATGGTTAACGGCCACACGCAGGTTGGTACCGGACTGCTTAAAGCCGCCACAACTAAACTATTGTGATCAGGTCAATGAAAACTCGTACTCAGAAGTCGGACATGAGGCTCTTGCACTTGAACTGTAAAGCTTTTGCACTGGGGGTGTAGAGATGCCGAGGAGGTCGAGAGTTGGCTATTGTGACACACTTCAATGGTGTGATGTCGCTGCCCAAAGAAGCTTCACGACGTGCTGGGAATATTGCAGCTGAGGAGATTCAGAGGCACAGAACACAACAACAGTCCTGTTGTGGAGTCCTGTAGCTCAGTGGTTAGAGAGCTCGCCTCGCAAGCGAGAGACCTGGGTTTGATTCCCGGTAGGGCGAAACCTTGGGCAACTTTCCTTACTCGACACGGCTGATCAGCACAGCCGTTGGATCATCTCTGGGACCCTCGCTGCTCTGTGTGGCTTGACTGAATGCTGGTGAATGCCATTTTATTATATTTGTTGTGACCTTCCATTCACTGCAACCTATTTCAGTTGAAATGTACAAAGCTGAGGAAATCTGACAGGCATTCATGGTTAGAGTAACAGTGAGACGAGGAAGATGGTTCTAAACAAATGTGGCAGAGGCGGAAAGTTTGAGAATAGAATGATCTAACAATACGTGTGCTCCGTCTTTTAAACAAACTCTTGTCTTTTTCTCCCACACAGGGCAACTCGTTGATTTTTATGCCCAATGTTCTCAAGCTGTATTTGGAAAATGGACAGACGAAAGCATTTAAATACGATAGCAATACGACTGTGAAGGTAGTAAAAATGTTTTCACTTACTTCAGACTGTGCATTAAACCTTTGCTAATTTCTCCCCCACAAATAGTCCTCCTGTTTTATTGATTCACCAGTGAAACAACCCAATGACTTCAACAAGAAATTTCCGTACCCTTGTCAATAAAATGGAGGAGCAAGAATGACACACAAGGGTCTAATTGGTGAGATTGTGAATAGTGGCTCTTCCAGGAAGCTGAGGAAATCTATTCAGACACCAAACCTCCTCCTGGCACTCAACGGCCACAATCCACTTCACAAAATTTTAAACTGAGATTGATATCCAAACGGAGTTCCAACAGGTCAGCCTGAGGCACAGCCAGGAAACCTATAGGATTTACTTCTTCCAAATACAGTAGAAGCCACTTTAGCCGGACACTGGTTAACCTTGGATGCCGGGTAAATCAGACAAAATGCCCGGCCCCGATTCATTTGTATTCTTACCTGTGGCTGTTGTTCAGGTGGAAATGCTGACACTGAATATTGAGCTTTGAGCTTCAAACTGTCCAAACTCCTGGGCCGAATGGCCTCCTTCTGTGCTGTATAATTCTATCATTCTATGAATGCAGCAGACAATTAGCCACAAACAGCATGAGTCAATGACCAGTTTTATTTGGAGGATTGTTGGCTGGAACACAGGATAAACTCCCTTCTATTTTCAAATAGAGTCATTGAATGTTTAAGGTCCACCTGAACAGACAGGACTTTGGTTTAATGTCACACCTGAAGGGCAGCACTTCAGCAATGCACTTCAACCATATACTCCCAGCACTGCATTGGATTGTCATCTTAAGACTAAATGCGCTCAGACAGATAGGAAAATAAACCGAAGGGATCCAAACTGAAGCAAACACGAGACTGCATGGGGGGGAGCAAGTGTTTTCTGAAGAGATCGTCCAGATCAGAATCGTCCTTTGTCAGTGAGCTTGTTTTCAGCTCCAATTTTGAGATCGGCATCTGACAGGTTATCAATTTGTTCTGCGAGTGGATAAAGTGATATTGACTAGGAATGAGCTTGAGTGCCTAAACCCAACACTCAGCTCAACTGGCCTTTACAGAGACTCATATATTTTAAATGAAAGAAAAGAACTCTGCAGATGCTGTTATAGTTTTGCAAGCTAATGCACATTATTAAAAGAAAAGCTTTTAGGAACATTTGGACATTGACATAACTCGGAGAGATGTCAGGTATTGTGAAAGGTAAATGTGCTCATGAATCTATCGACAGCAGATATTAGGTTGAGTATTTTCATATATTAAAGGCTGGAGACTCTACTGGGGGAAGATGCTCCTTTGGATTTTGCTTCACTGTTGTTTTATTTATATAAATCATAGTGTCTCCCTATTGCACCAGTTTGAATGATTTCTTTTCCACCCAACAACCCCTGTAGCCTCTCTGAGTAAGATCGCTAGCTGGATTCTGGAGGGATTTGAGCTGTGGATTCACAGCTATTGAGTGGGACTAGAACCGCTGAACCTCATTTCAGATATTTCAGACTTGAACATACTTGGGAATTGGGCAGGTCGATGCAGATGAAATTCAAACTAGAGAAATGCATGGGGACAAAAAATCCAGGAAGCAACTATTATTTAAATGGGAAGAAAATAATCTGTATGGAAACTGAAATGGACTTGGGGATCCTGATTGACAATAAATTGAAGCTATCTCAACAGTGCTTGGTAGCAGTGAATAAGGCAAACCAGATGCTGAGTTGTATTAAAAGGCCAATATTGGGCCAAAATAGAGCAGTGGGGAAATACATTGGTGTGACCGCAATTGGAATAATGTGGGCAGTTCTGGTCACCACAATGTAAAAAGGATATTGCAGCGAATAAGAGGGTACAGAGGAGGGCAACCAAAATGATTGAGAGGATGGAGGACTGGACTATGAGAATTGATTAGATAAACTGGGCATATTCACGCTCGAGTAGAGAAGGTTGAGGCATGATATGATTATAGTCTTTAAGATTCTGAAAGGACTCAATCATGTAGACCCTGATAAGTTGTTTTATCTTGTATAGAAGAGTCGAACCAGAGGATAAGGCCTGCGATTGAAGGGCGGTAAATTCAGAACAAATCTGCAAGGAGTGAACTTGTGGAACAGGCTCTCAAGGGAGACAGTGGAAGCAGAAATTCTTGTTTGTTTTAAGAACAAATTAGATAGATTTCTGCTGGAAAATAATATCTCGGGATACAGTATATAGTTTGGGATACCACATGTCAAGCGACTGCCAGGATGGTGGAAGGCGAACTAGATGGACTTTGGTCTTCTTTCTCCTAGAAAATTCTTATGTTGTTATGTTCTCATGACACATATGCGCCTTAAAATTTGTCACACAGAGAACTTCAACCCATGAGTCTCGGGTGGATTTGTACTGAGATCTCGGAGGCGAAAGATCATTACTTGAATCTTTCTTTGTGTCTTATCTCCTACATGTTACATGGGATAAAGCTAGGAGATTGTTAGCAGTAGGATTAGTGTTAACCTACTAAAATTAGCCCCTTTATAATTAGAGTATCAGAGGTCTCTTTTGGATAAAATAAAAATCTTCTTAAAAAAAATCCAGGAAGATGATAGTTTAAACTTTCTATTTTGAATTTACAGGATATTATTCTAACTCTGAAACAAAAGCTGTCCATCCGTTGCATTGAACACTTTGCTCTAGTCCTGAAGGAACAGTACAGCACCTCCAAGGTGTATCTCCTACATGAAGATGAGATCATTGAGCAGGTAAGAAGAGCCTACGCTATGTTCAGTGTACGTGTGTTTGCTTTGTGCATGGATTGTGTTGTGCTGTATTACTACAATACGAATCCTTTATAATGAATGTACACTTTAAATGCTTTAAATAAATATATTCAGCTCAACCGTGTGTACTTCCTTGTATTCCCCCTTCCAACCTTCTGAAGAGGTCCATTTGCCATCTCCTTTTTGTTCTTGCTTTTGTCAACGAGGCTGAGCACTGACATCAAGAGATTAGCTGCGGAAGGGAGTGAACATAAGATATTCCTGTGTCCTGGTGGCAAAACTGCTTTACTTCTCTCCTAAACATCTTCCAAAACATCAAGGCAGTTCAGACAACTCCCAGGACAGGGAAATCAGCAGGGAAATCAGGAACAAAAGATAAATTTGAAGTTCAAAGCCAAGCATGCAAAAGCAAATCCAGGAAAACATTTCTTCACACAAGGGGATGTAATTGTAATAATAATAATAATCCTTACATTTGATATAGCACGTAATCACGCCTTTGAGATGTCTCCCTCCATGTTAGAGTAGAAAAAAAATATCCGATTTGTGAGACTTCTTGAGGGGATTCCTTCGTAATTAATTCAAGTTGTGCGAATGGAGATTTTTTCAGTAACTGGAAAAAAACACGCTCTCATATGAGGAAACTCCACTGCAACACCATTGACCTCTAAAGTGGAGTTCTCGTGGTAGGAATTCTAATGGGATTCCTTAAGAAATCCATGTAGAAACATCTCAATTTACACCCCCAAAGCGCTGCCATGCATTAATTAAATAGTGGAGTAATAATAATAATAATGATCATCGCATTTGATATAGCGCTTTATCACGTCTTGAAAGAGGGGGAGGTTGGGAGTAAGTTGGAGGGACTCCAGGATAGAGTTCCGGAGAGCCGGGACAGAAAGGCAGGAGCTGTGTGGGAAGAATTCTTGCTCCCGAGCCTTGCTGACGAGCCAGGCTGGCTGGCCTGTCATCAGCCGTGCCCTGGAGCCTGGATCAGGAACCAAACTGCTGAGAGGCCAAAGTGGGTTGACACGATTCTGACATTCTGTTGCCCAACAAGTTACCTTGGAGCCAGCCAGCTCAGCGACAACCTCACGTATTTCTCCCCCAATACACAAATAGGTATGGGTACACACATTGAGCCAACTGAGGTCCAAGGAGACCGCACTTACTTCCCTTCTAAGGAGGATAGTCACTAGTTGATCCAATGCAATGGATTTCAGTCAATTCTGTAATTGTGTAATTATTCATTGTTCATTACAGAATTATTGCCAACTGTAATTTACATTCTACTTTGCACATGGTTAGCACTACCTACAAATTTCCACTCCGTTGCTTGACTGAACATTAGAATGGGATTACAACGATACGGTGAAACAATTGCTTGTTTTGGAGATCAGTATAAAGTCAACCCCACTGTGAAAAACCTTTAGCTGTTATGGGAAATCATTAAAGTATCTCTCTTTTCGCAGACTCGGAAATGTCTGCTTGGAAGAAATCAGTGGAAATAATGAGAGACATCTCCCATACCTCAAAATATTCACTCTAAGACAGTTTTTTTCCAGATGATTTTCTTATCCTTTAAGGATGTTAAGCACATTAATAATAGATTGATTATTGATGTAACTGCTATTATTTACAGGTGGTGGAAAAACGGGAACCCCATGACTACAAATGTCTCTTCAGAGTTTGTTTTCTTCCCAAAGACCCCCTGGACCTTCTTCGAGATGATCCAGTTGCATTTGAATACCTCTACAAACAGGTACCTAAATTATTATCAGACACTGTGTGTTGCTATTTTACAATGATGAAAGCATTTTCTAGAGCAAGGGATTTCTTCACGCACAATTTTGTATTCCTTCACTAAAAGAACAATTGTTTTGACTATAGGTGTGCATTCAATTCTGCCCAGTTACTTTTTGAAGATGCTCCATGCATTGCCTTAGCATCGTTTTCTGTGCAAAACATAATTTGCACTTAATTTCGGAGTGCTCTAACCACAAAGCTACAGGACTCCAAGCTGTATGAAAGCTATGCCTTGTTCCTCAAAGGCGCTTCAAACTTTTAATAACGTTGCTGACTGTGTATACTGATATAAATAGAAATCTATTGTAATGCTAAGTAAGACTTAGGAGAAAACAATACGAAGCTGGATTTGCATATCAGAGGAATATGAATATGTTACTTGAAAGGAATTAGGAAAGGCTGCAAACAGCTGGGATTTGCCACACATCGGGGTAGCTTTGATTGGGGTTTATTAACAGCGATGAAAATACTATTTGCCACGTCAATAATTTACAATCGGGGGAACCATGGTCAGAGATCTAACGGTTTACTACTGCATTCACTAATTTGTAAAATATTTTGAGACCGTGTACCTGGATCCAACGGGTCCCATCAAAAAGTCCATGTTTCACACTTTCAAAAACTATTTACACTGACCCCAAATTCATAAGCATATTGTCATGAGCAACATCAGTCAGGGTGGAACATGAAAAAGCCAATTGACCAACCAGTAGATTAGTTGGTAGCATTCTCACCCGGTGTCATCACAACCTCAACACAGTCTTCTGAAAGGATGAATAACCGTTGAATAAGGAAGTGGTGTCTCAGTAGCGACAAATAACCTGGATTTTTCACATTTTGCTTATGTCAATGCCTCTGAGAAATTGAACTCAGAGGATTGTGTTATAACGAAGTTGCTCTGTAGTTTTATTGTAATATATTTGATATTGAGGAACCTTGAATATAAAGGAAAGGAAATGATGATTCAATTCTATGGAGCCTTGGTCAGACCCAACTGGAGTACTGCGTTTAGCTTTGGGCATTGCATCTCAGGAACGATATATTGGCCCTGGAGACGGGGTGCAAGGCATTTACCAGAATGATACCAGGGCTTAAAGGGTTAAATCATGAGGACATGTTGCATAAACTTGGTTCCCTTGAGTTTAGAAGGTTGAGAGGTGATCACATTGATGTTTTGAAAATGATAAAGGTATTCGATAGGGTAGATACAGAGAAACTATTTCCTCTGGTGGGGGAATAAGGTGGCATCATCTTAAAATTAGAGCTGAGCCATTTAGGAGGGAAATCAAGAGGCAGCTTTTCACCCAAAAGGTAGTGGAAATCGAGAACTCTCTCCCCCAAAAGACTGTGGATGCTGGATCCATTCACATCTTCAAGACTGAGGTGGACAGATATTTGATGGCTCAGGGTATCAAGGGATACAGTGCAAGGGTAGATAACTGGAGTTGAGGTACAGATCAACCATGATCTTATAGAATGGTGGAACAGGCTCGAGGGGATGATTGGCCTAACCCGTGTTTCTATGAATGACTTATAAAACGTTTATAATATACAACAACAACAACAACAAGATTCCATTTATAAAGCGCCTTTCACGTCAGGAGGACGTCCCAAGGTGCTGCACAGTTGGGTCATGACCCGAGCATTGGGGGGAAATGGTCAGGGTGAGGGGAGGGGAGGGAGGGAGCGAGGAGGGGGGAAATGGTCAGGGTGAGGGGAGGGAAGGGAGGGAGCGAGGAGGAGGAAGAGAGTCGAGAGGGGAGCTGAAGGCACGGTCAAAGAGAAAGGTTTTGAGATCGGCCTTGAAGGAGGAAAGGGAAGAAGCGGCGAAGGCACTGGGGGATGGAGTTCCAGAGCCTGGGGGCTGAGAGGCTGAAGGCCCGACCACCGATGGTAGGGCGGTTGGGGCGGGGGACGTGGAGCAGACCGGAGCCAGAGGAACGGAGGGTACGGGCAGGTAGGTAGGGGGATAGAAGGTTGGAGAGGTAGGAGGGAGCAAGGCCATGAATGGCCTTGTAGGTGAGGATGAGGATCTTGAAATCAATCCTCTGGGGGATGGGGAGCCAGTGGAGGCGAGCGAGGGTGGGAGTGATGTGGTCCCGAAGCCTGGTGCGGGACAGTACACGAGCTGCAGAGTTCTGGATGACCTGCAGTGTGGAGGGAGGTGGCGGGAAGGCCGGCGAGGAGAGAGTTCCCATAGTCCAGCCTTGAGGTGACAAAGGCGTGAACCAGGGTTTCAGCAGCGTGAGGGGTGAGGTAATGCCGTAGTCTGGCGATGTTCCGGAGGTGATGGAAGGCGGTGCCAGTTGTGGTGCGGATGTGAGGGAGAAAGGACAGCTCAGGGTCGAACAAAACGCCGAGGTTCCTGACTGCTTTGCGAGGTGGAGAGTGCAGCCTTGGATGCTGATGGTGTCAGCGCCTGAGGTGCGGAGGCGCTGACGTGAGCCAATCAGGAGGGCCTCGGTTTTTCGCACGTTGAGCTGAAGAAAGTTGTCTCTCGTCCAGGACTCGATGTTCCCCTACTGCCCCAACCAAAAATGTCCAGGTGTGTTATAATATAACACACCTACGTTGAAAGTTTCCTCTGAACTCCCTCCATATTAGATAGCAACTTAACATGTCATCACGAGTAGACTGTGGACAAGTCTTCATAAGACTTGATGAACTGTTCATTGATCACTTTGGTCCAGAATCAACGGTAGAGCCATCGACCGCTGTTCAGGAACTCTCACAAAATCAGTTTTGCTTTGCACCTTCTCTCCCTGCCTTCAAACTGTACCTCATCATGTCTTGTGCAGCAGCCTTAGCTTAGTTTGTAGCATTCTCACCTCTGGGCCAAAAAGCTGTAAGTTTAATTGATTTTCATATTCTTGGCAGTATAGTGGGATGCAGATCTGGCCGATGATAGTCCTGAACCTGTCCACTCCCTCCATGCTGCTCCATGTCCCCCACCTTCAGGCTCTGGTCACCCTCTACTCTTACCCTCCCGCCCTCCACCCCCCTGATCCCAAACCCCAGCTTGGGTCCAAATCTCCTGACTGTCCACTGCCTTGGGATGTCCTCCTGCCATGAAAGGTGCTATACAAATGCTATTTGTTTTTGTTGAGACACACCTGGTCCTCCCATTATTTAGCTCACTGGTTAGAGCACTCGCCTCGCAAGCGAGAGACCTGGGTTTGATTCCCGGCAAAGTGAAATGTTGGGCAAGTTTCTTTGCTCCACACGCCTGTTTAACCTAGCAGTAAGGAGGAACCCGATTGTTAATCTATTGGCGGATCACTTTTCCGGGTGTAATAATTCCTCCAAATTTTTTTAAAAAAAAATAATAAATTGGTCACTTCAATCCACAAATGTTTGTGGGACGCTGCTGCGTGCAATTGGCTGCTGTGTTTCGCCCACAAAACATACAGTCAATTCACTTTACAGTAGATTCTGTGAAGCGCTTTGAGACGTCGCGAAGACGTGATAAGGCGCTGTATCAAATGCAAAGGTTATTATTATTTACAATACTTCTTAACATTATCAAAATCAGATGCCAGTAAATGTATAAGTGACTTTGTCTAACAACACTGACTGCCTTTTTTTCAGAGTTGCAATGATGTGCTGCAGGAGAGATTTGCCATGGAGATGAAATGCAATATTGCAATCCGGTTGGCAGCATTGCAGATACAGGAATGTATTCTCAGCTCTAAGCAGCATCAGAAAGTCTCCCTGAAATACATTGAGTAAGTGGGTCTATTTAAAATAGTTACAGAACTGAACCAATCCACCATGATTGGTTTTCAGAGATCTAAGCAGCAGCTGCTTAAGCTCCACACCTCCAACTGGTGGAACCATCTCTCAATGGGAAAGGACGTGAGCCCGAGCTGTGGGCAGGAAGACGGTGGCAATGCTCTCACACATTTCACGCTGAGTTGTGTTGTCCAACACGAAGCTCAAAGAGAGCTCCTGGTACCTGCTCAAACCCAGGCTTGTGGTTGGGGCAGTAGGGGAACAAATAGAGGTGTGAAAGACTTGGGGGAGAGAGTTGGGGGAAGAGTGGGGTGGATGGCAGGAAGAGCAATTTTGTCTATTTTCGATTCAAAAAGAAGTGCATGACCTCTTCTCCACTTGTTGTACTGCCTTGGTGCATCCTCAAGTATTGTTTAGGATGCACTATTGTTTAAAGCGCTCTGAGATGCTACCTGGCATGAAGGGCACGATATAAATGCTGTTGTTGTTCTGGGCTTATTTTTTCAATCCTATTTAAAATTGGATTCACCTCTATGAGGTTCCCTCTGAGCTGTCTTCTCTCAAGACTGAAGAGATCTGGCTTGTCTTGTTGCTCAGAGGTCATTCCTCTGACACAGGAGATAATTCACGTTGCTCTCCTCTGCATTGGCCCAAGGAATTAGTGTCGCGGTGACCAGAACATTCCCAACAACCCTCTGAAATAAATCTGACTGCCTAGCTCAAACCAGAGGTAGCAACAACAGGGAGCATCACACTAATTCTGGTCATATTATAACGCATCCTGGGTGAGATTGTGGAGTCCTGTAGCTTAGTGGTTAGCGCACTCGCTTTGCAAGTGAGAGACCTGAGTTCAATTCCAGGCAGAGGGCGAAACCTTGGGCAAGTTTCCTTACTCCACACACCTAATAATAATCCCTCCAAAACCGAAAACAATAATAAATTGGTCATTTTCAATCCATATGACTGTTTGTGGGACATTGCTGTGCGCAATTGGCTGCTGCGTTCGCCCACAAATATACAGTCAATTCACTTTACAGTGTGTTCTCTGAAGCGCTTTGGGACGTCCTCCCGACGTGAAAAGCGCTATATCAAATGCAAGGATTATTATTACTATATATTATTATTGATGTGTGAAGTGTTAGCTAGGCTCTGCTTTGTAAAGTTATGCCTTTTGTTCAGGAAGGACTGGGGAATTGAGAACTTTGTCTCACCAACTCTGCTTCATAACATGAAGGAAAAAGACATCAGAAAGGCCATTAACTACCATCTCAAGAATAATCACAGCTTGGTTGCACCAGGACAAAAGGTAATCATTTCTAATTCAGATTATAGTGTGAATATTAATTACTCCCTAGTGGTTTCAAGCACTTTTACATTGACCGTGCCGGTTATTCCAACCCTATTCAAATTATTTTTCCTGGGAGATTTCTGAATGGAAGCAAATGAAATAGCAGTTAAATTAGCCTCTTTACATGTAATGATTGCACAGAACTATTATTCCAGTACTCACGTCTGCAAAGCGCAAATGTTCTGGATTGTACTTGGTGCACACATTCTTCCTAAGAGGCATTAAACAGGAAATAGGAGCTTTCTAGACTAGGTTGGTCAAGCCACTGTTTGGTGTAAAAACTGAGTCCTACACATTGGGAGTCCTACAGATTGGTTTTGCACTGATTGGCATAGGATCCTGGTCTGTGCTGGGTGAACTGATCTAAGTCAGGCACTGAGGGTTACAATTGCCTCAACGTTCCAGGATTAGGGAGGGAAAAATCAGACCAAAATCCCACCAGGAACCACACCGGGCAAATTTTGCAGCCAATATCGGGGCGGCAATATCTCATAAACAGCCATGGAGTAAGTGACCAATTTTATCTGGGAAGATAGTTAATCAGGATTCAGGACAGAAACTCCCTTCTCTTTTTGAATAGTGGCACAGGATCTTTAAGGTCTGTGTGTCTGTCATCTGAACAAGCAGATGGGACATTGGTTTAACATCTCATCTAAAGGATGGCACCTGCGGTAATGCAGCACAATCCAAACTCTGTATTGTTTTGGAGTATCAGCTTACACCAGATGGGTTCCAAGACCTAATGTGGGGTTTGAACTCACAGCCTTATGACTCAGAAGTAGGAGTGCGACCAGAGTTGACATACATCACAGTGAGGAGAACATTAAAAAGAATTGGACAATCTAAAATTTAAAAAAAAACAGAAGACTGCTTCCGAATATAGCCAATGTAACCAAAGTGATATCTTCGTTCAGTTGGGGGATCTGGTTTTACATGTAGAGGAAACATTTTGCTTTTGTGTGATATTAAACTTCTACTAAAATGTGTTAAGAAATCAAATCACTTTTTTTCTCTGATTTCAAGCAGCTGATATCGACAGCTCAAACTCGGCTGAATTATCTGAACATACTTGGCGATCTTCGGACATATGGAGGAAAAATCTTTAATGTAACCCTGATGGTATGTGTATGAAAAAACAGAGTGCACGTCCCTTTCTGCTACTTACTACAGTATTTAATTTTTTCCCCTTAACGTATCTCACCAACATTGGTTTCTCCAGTTGCAGGACAGAGAATCGTTTGTCACCCTGTTGATTGGAGCCAAGTATGGCATCAGTCAGGTTATTAACAGTAAGCTCAATATTATGAACCTGCTGACGAACTTCCGGCACATCAGGAAGCTGGAGCTCACGTTCGAGTGTGAGAAGGTCAGCATGGTGAAGATCCACCTACAGGATGTGAAGGTAAAGGGCCCACACCTGCTCTCATTTCCTGCACGGAGGTGCGTTTTGTGCTTTAAACGGTATCGCTGGTGGAAGATCGAAGGAAACCTTTCGCTGATTCAATCGCTGTCTCTGAATTGATGGCATTCACCAATCTAATGTGTCCACCTGCTGAACCAGTCCTCGACTTCTGAAAAATATTAAGAGAGGTTACTTGCTGCCTCTCTGTGTCTGCAAGGGGGAGAAGGGACTCGGAGAGATCACAAGAAAGTTCGGATGAAGTAGGGTGGTGAGTCCTTCCAGAATACCCACCCTACCATCTGCACGTCACAGCATCCAGCTGCTCTGTGAATGAATCCAGAATCCTGGTCTCAACCACTCTGCCTGGTGACCTGCTACAGTCATTAGTTATCCTCTGGGGAAAGAAATATTTCCTGGTGTCAATACTGCACTACTATGTTCAGATGCTGGTCACCTTCTAATGCTTTATGCAAATGGTCATTCTTCGTGAGTGAATTAAGTGGTGAGCGTCTTGATCATTCTTCATGAGTGAAATTGTTTTATACCTCTGAGTTATCTTTCTGCGAGACTGAAAAAATATGTATGATTCAGTCCTGCAGCTGATGGTGCAAACAGCCACTGAGTCACCAAGCGAGTCAAGTTGAGCCATGGTTCCTGAAGATATATGGTGACATAAGAACGTAGAAAAGCAGGAGCAGGAGGAGACCATTTAGTCCATCGAACCTGTTCCACTAGTTTATTACATTTGATCAGATATTTAATCCCAATTAATGTATGAGAAGCGAGGGAAGTGGTGCACTGAAGCTACGCTAATCTAATCACATGGAGGCTAGTTCAGCAATATCTGAAAGAACAGTGGGTATCAGGTGTTCAGGTGATCAATATACCATATCCACAGAACGTTGTTTGCTTGTGTGAACAAATTCAGCTTGTTCAGTTCCAGGAGACAAATGTTGTAATGATGTATCATTGCCTAGTTTTCTTTACGACAGTTGAAAAACAAAAATCAGCTGCTGCTCATTACTTTACCACTGGAGTGTGCGTCGCATGAAGCTTGCCTATGACCAATACTATTAATTATGATAGTATATAGTATTCTACCTGCAATTGCCTCCTTAACAAGAGCAGCAAGGACATTACTTCATCATCTGAAGCTTTAACATATGATGTTGACTTCATGGTCTAGTGGATGATTAGGTTTCCTATTGCACCACAATGAGAGCCTGACACCTTGAGCGTTAAGCAGCAAGCTGTCGGCCTGGCTCGGCTGCTAGCATTCTCACTTGTGAGTCAGAAAGTTGTGGGTTCATTTCTAGAATCCAGAGCAGTCCTGGTGAAGTTCTGTATTGTGGGATATGTCATCCTTTGGATGGGGAGTTAAAACGAGATCCTGTTGTTTCATTCTTAACATATGCTGGAAAGAGGAGGTGTCCTTGTGGTGGGGAGGATCTTGATGTTCCTCCTCATTCTCCAATTGGTAACCACGCAAGCGTTCTAGCTAGGTTTTGCCAAACAAATATGGAGTAGTTGGGGAATTAAATGAACAAACCCTCTGTGATATCTGGTGCTATTGCCGGTGACTGGAGATAAATGTTGTCAGTGAAGGGGAGGAATTAGTTGAATTAAAAAATATGTTGCACGGCAGTGAAAGTCTATTATTTTTAATGTAAATGAGGGAATCAATGCTGACAAGGAATCTAGCCTGCGTCTGTGAAAGGCTTAATTTGACGAACAGCTCTTTGTTTCATTGCTGCGTGTTTCTGTTTTCAGCCCCTGACGTTATTACTGGAGGCTCACTATGCCAAGGATCTTGTGTGTCTGATCGCTGGCTATCACAAGCTGTACGTGAAGTTGGGTGAAAGTATATTCACATGGCCCAGCAGCACCCAGAATCCGCCGTTTACAAACGAGGAAGGTAATACGATAAATACTTCACTGTTTTTTTTTAAAAAAAGTGTTGCCTTCAGACTTTCCTCCCCTCTCCTGCCGATGTTGACTCAGGCTGAAGTGCAGCTGGACAGACACCAAACACACTCTCCCGGTCGTGTTTTCTGCCTTCAATTAAGGTAGGGGATAAAAAAAACAACTAAAGCTTGGTCAGATCCAAAGCAAGAGAACAGACTGAAACAGAAGCAGCACAAGAATCCAAACCCCATTTGATGCTGTACCTTTTCTACTCTTTTCCGTCTAAATGTTTCTCTGTCACTTCCTTTCTCTCTATTTCCATCTCTTTTTCTCCTTCAGATGCTGCGACTATTCGTAGCATCTCAGGACAGATTGAATTCGGCCTTAGACCCGCTGGTTCTGGCTCAATTTCACACTGGCCATTGCTTTTTTCTTATTAATAATCCTTGCAATTTGCATAATCCTTGCTACCTGTCCTTTCATTACACCAAGTCAGTAAATGTAGGACAAAGGTTAGAGCTGTCATCATTGAGCGAATTCCCAGTGTGCGATGGGAAATAAAGTCATGCCAATTTCAGCATGATAAAGTGCAAGGATTAATAATATTATATTATTATGATTGTAATATGATGCCAATAACCGCATATAAGAGAGCCAGGTTTGAGAGAGTCAGCAGTAACTCACTGTCTTATAATATCTAACATTGTTGTGCAACTTGCTGTACCCTGACTTCTGCCGACAACTGTTTGGTGTTAAGATTTGTCAGTATATTGTTTATTGTTGCAAACAGCAGATTTAAAGATATGTTTCCAGAGAATACGTGTGAGACAGTGAAGGTAGAAGGAGATTCTATCAGGATCCCTTTTTTTAAACAATCTAATTTATAATCAATTATGACAAACTTTAGCATTGTATCAGTCTACGTGTGTTTGTTTTTGAATAATAGTTTGTTTAAATTGTAAATGGTGATGATTTAACTGAAGGAATTAGTCACTTAAAAAAAGTGCACTTATGAATGCACACTCACGTAATGTACGTTTGCAGGCATACTTGCGTACCCATGCATTCATGCATGCACACATACATGATCATGCATGTACATCCCTACTCACTGAGACGTGTGTTTTTGAATGCATACGCATACAATCAATATGCATGCACACAGTCGCACATACTCATACACACTGGTGCACACATATGTGCAAGGACAAGTCCATATACGCACGCTCATGCAAACACTCCAAAATATGGGTACATGCATTTGTGTACACGCGCAGACCCACCAGAATTTAAATCAACAAATGGGAAAAATTATGCGCAATGGATAATCAGCCTTCTTTTTTGTAGTTTCGTAGTTTTTTTTTAATCGTAGGTAATACCGACGGTAGGAATTTTCTTTATTTCAATTCCATTTCTTGAAGCTCTTTCAGACCTTTTAAGCACTCTGAGACGCTATCATGCGTGGAGGGCGCTATAATAAGTGCAAGTTGTTGTTGCATTGGGGGTAATTTCTGAAGTTCATGAGTCATGTTGGGTGCGGTTTGATGGACACTGGGTTTTCTGGTAGTAGAATGATAATTCTTAATGCCTGGCAGTGAGTATCGGTAACCTATTTGAATGTGGAAGGCATCAAAATTGAATTCAATCCTGTCAACACTCTATAATCCCATACACACAGCTTTTCAGCAGAAGGCAGTGAATAACAATCAGGAGCAGAAACCTGGGCTGGTTCTTTTCCTCTACCTATCCATGATACTGGGCCAAATGCAGCTCAGTTGGTGTCTTGGCTGGTATCAACTAACCAAACACAGACTGCAATCAAATTGGGCATTGTTTTATGTCTGTGTGACTCGGTTTCACTTTGAAAAGCAGCACTTTCACTGAAGCACTGTGAAAGTTCAGCTTCTTCACGGAACTTCTCAAGTCTTCCTTCACTGACTTTGGATGTAATTTTCTCTCCGTACAGGCGAGGATTCTCGGGGATGCAGTGACTCGGAGTCTTCATCTGAAATTGACTCTTCGTTGGAGATGTCTGCCGAATTCCACAAACTGAGGAACGGATACATCCAGCCGTTGAACGAAGAAGACGAAGAGAATGAGAATTCAGAGAGCGAGGCAACGGACAGCGATTACAAACGGGAAGAGGCGCTGGAAGAGATGAGCTGCAGTACCGGAGATACGTCGGATATCAACGAAGTTAGTCAGGAAAGGAGTGACTGTGAACGAAGCTGCTCTATTGACTCAATGGAAGAACTGGACGTCGAAGTCTCAGCGAGCAACATGTTGTATCAGCAATCGCACTGTGATATTTCTGAAGAGGTGGCAGAGGAAGGCAAAGGTTCCATCCCTGCAGGAAGTTTAGATAAACCACTTACGCGGAAGAAGTGTACGACGGAATCTAAGGACAGCTTGCTTCACCTTTCAGAGGCAGAGGACTCCTTGACTTGCATCAACGTTCTATCTGAGAGTTGCAACAGTGCTACAGAGGAGATGGTGGCTGGCTCTTCGCATGATTTAAGTGACAAGTCCCATTCTACTGAAGGAATGGAAAGTTGCAACCAGTGCCATGAAGACATCAGTGGCAAGGCTGAAGAAGGGCCTGGGCTCAACAATTGGACAGACAGCATCTTGCTAGCTGAGCTGCCACCAGAGACGCCAGCTCCTGACTGTGATATGCTTGTCGATGTTCTAAACATTCCTATTCTGGATCCTCCTCCCGGGTTTGGAGACAGCAGTTCAGATGATGAATTTTTTGATGCAGCAGATAGATTGACTCCTGTTGAACTTCCCGTTACCATTGGAACAGGAGAAGGTTTGTCGTTTTGTTCAAAATACATTTGCTGCTTGTAGCAATTTCTGCTGGGATTTTTTAATAAGGTCTCTGAATCATTAGTGGGCACGCTTTCCGAAAACGGACATTTGTCACCCCATTCCAGGGAAAGGTTGCTCTGGAAATAGATTGCGTCAGAATAGAATTCCTATGGGTTCGGGTCATGCACTTACTGTTCTTCAAAGCATCCACTTTTGTGACTCAGACTCCTTATTTTGGAATCCTGTTTCCAATCTCTGGGGTTTTAAGCCCCAGTGACGTATTCATTTACTATACATGGTAAGTCGATCGGGAACATATTGAAATAAATATCTAGGTGTCAGGAAGTGGGTTTTGTGCTGAGTGGGTGATGTTTGATAATCAGTGAAGCCAAATCAATTGTTGCGGTTAGCAAGTGCAGTGGGAAATGTGACGTAGGCAGATATGCAACCATTCAAGCCATTCATTCCAGCCATTAATTGAAATGTAGAGATCTCAGGCCTGAAAATTCATACGGTCTGAGCCTTAAGAGCATTGTATTCAAAATAAAGCTTGTGCAGAAAGCAGCTATTTTCCTCCAGTTCACAAAAACGAATCTGTGGAAAACCATCAATCCTGAATTGTGGTTTTAAATTCCAGAACAGTGGATTTGCAGGAAAAGAGGAATTTGGGGGATTAAAATTCAATGTCCCACAGTCATTAATTCCTAGCAAAGTAGTTGAATGCTCAAGAGCAAGATTTAAAATGAGCATAAAAGAAAATTCATGAATTTAAAAATACGGTAACTGGTAAATGAAAAGCGAAATGCACAAATTTTCATTAAAATGAACAGGCATGTAAATTATCCTGAACGAGCGCGTGTTCATGAGAGAGGACCTTGTGCTAATGAAAGCACATACACTCTCACCACACATATTACATAGAATTACTTTGAACAATACAGCATGGAAGCAGGCCATTCGGTCCAACCAGCCAATTTACGTAGAGCAATGTCCCACAAACAGCCACAAAGTGCCTATAGCAAAGAATTTCCTACAACATTTTCCAATGTTATATTCTACAGTAACATGGATACGATGGTCTTTCAGGCAAATAATTATCGACTTTGTGACACAATATGCCTGGGTCCAAATCTGGATCCCAAATTTTGCATTATCATTGTAGATAATAATCCTTACACAGTAATCCTTACATTTGCTATAGCGCATTTCATGTCAGGAGGACATCTCAAACTGCTTCACAGGATTACATTGTAAATTGCAGTGACTGGTTTGTTTTGTGGGCAGTTGTGGGATTGCCGCCCAGTACCTGAAATTCTTGTTCCCAAACTGGCATTGGAGCGTTGCTTCACAGGATACCAATTGTGTGAAGTCAGTGTACCGTGAAGCTGCACTTGATTCAAAATAACAATGATTAAATTGCTTAAATCTTAGCATTCACCGATTATCCAAATGTCAGGGGTTTGTTCACACCTCGCACCACGTGATAATTATCACCTAAATTCCAATGTTTTTGAACTGATTCAATGTGATAATTAATATCTAATCTATTTTGAAACACTACATTTTTTCATCCCAAAGTAAAAATTTAAAGTAGCATTTCTTTATAGAGAGGATAATTAATAGCTGGACTGAGTTATTGAGAAAGGTTCCAAAGTCCTAGATGTAAGAAACCGCTTGCTGCTTAAGGACCATTAAAGTTGTTTTTATCTACAAAATGAAAACCCGGGTATTTTCTGTTTCTTTGCGGGTTTATTTTTGGTGTCAAAAACAGGAGAACATTTTCTTTTTTGGTGGGGGAAGGAGGGGATGACACACAAAAAACAAGAAAGAATGGCAAATATTAAGAAGGCAGTTCCTTTATTGATTAACGCAAATTCACTATAGGGGTAACTAAAAAAAAAACTCCATCAGGAGTTATACAGTCTTGTAATAACACACTTAACCAGCTCTTATCGCTCTCCCTCTGCCTCACTCTCTCACGCTGAATCGCTCTTTCTCTCTGTCTTTCTCTTTTGCAATAGCTAATTTTCATTGAGAGCGGGGATTTTTCCCCACACAACATCTGGGAACCCTGCAATCCCAAACCCCAACGGGTAGGACAAGCAGCAGGAAGCTTGTTAGATAGTACTTTCAATGGCAGCTATGCTGGTTAAACTCCTGCAGGACCCAACACATAATCTGGGTCCCCAAGCCTTGGCACTTCATCCCGAACTCTACAACGTACAAAATACTACAAATTTAACATCCAGGTCCTTTAAAAGATCCAGTTGTATATGTCCAAAGTTATTCGCATAACAACAATAAAACATTACACTTGTACAGCGCCCTTCGTGACAGGAAGACAACCCAGGGCGCTGGACAATCAGGGGTTTTGACCCCGACCTGGGAGCTGAGGTCAGGAAGGGTGGAGGGAGGGGCGGTGGCCGAAGGCACGGTCGAAGAAGAAGGTCTTTAGATGGGACTTGAAGGAGGCAAGAGAAGGGGTGAAGCGGCGGGATTGCAGGCTAGGCTTCCAGAATATGAGGGCAGAGATGCTGAATGCCCAACCATCAATGGAGGGGCGGGAAGTGCGGGGGACCTGAAGCAGACTGGTGTCCACCAAGAGGAGGGAGCGGACAGGCTAATATGGGGTTAGGAGGTCACAGAGGGGGGAGCAAGATCATGGAGGGCTTTAAGGGTCGAGGCAACCTGCAGTGAGAGGCAGTGGCGGTGGAGGGCACTATTGCGGAGATGGGGAAAGGCGGAACAGGTCATGGCACAAATGTAGGATTTGAAGGATAGCTGAGGATTGAACAGTACACTGAGGTTCCGTATTGGCTCGGTGAGGTGAAGAGTGGAACCATGAATAGTGATGTTATCAGAGCATGAGGTGAGGAGGCGTTGACAGGAACCAAGCAGGAGTGCCTCTGTCTTGCCAACATTGAGCTGGAGGAAGTTGGCTCTCATCCAGGACTTGATGTCTGACAGACAATTTGCCAGGACATCAACAGTTCTGGAGTCGAGGGTGGAGGCGGCGAGATAAGAGTTGGGTGTCATCTGCATACATGTGGAAATTACCTCATGTCTGCGGATGACATTAGCGAGCGTGAGCATGTATATATTGAAGAGGAGGGGACCAGGACAGAGCCCTGAGGGACTCCACACGTGACAGAGCAGGGGCCAGAGGAGAAGCCGTTAGTGGACACGAAGTGGAGAGAATGGGAAAGGTAAGATTGGAACCAGGCAAGAGCAGAACCCCGTTGAGGTGGAGGTGGGAGGAGAGGCGGTGGAGAAGAATAGAGTGGTTGACGGTATCAAGAGCGGCCGAGAGGTCAAGAAGGATGAGGACACAGAGAGAGCCCTGGTCACCGGTGGACAGAATGTCCTTCGTCACTTTGACCAGGGCTGACTCTGTGCGGTGAAGCCGCACGAAACCTAGAGTTTGTAGAGGGAATCCTGGGAGAGGAAAGAGTTGGGAAGCAACAAGTCGTTCCATGACCTTGGGAAGAAAAGGATGGTTTGAAATAAGGTTAACATAGATGCTTACATTGTTTCTCTAGTAACCTCATCCCCAGCCACTGAATTTGCAAATGGTGCACATATCTAATACCAACATTAAATCACTCAATTTGTTTTTTTATAAAGCAAAATAATTTGAACTGATTGACTTTCACTCAGGAAAATGGATTTTTTTTGTGAAACTGGTAAATTTAATGATTTTATTGATGCTGTAATGGAAGGATAGTGGAGCTGGTAAGTTGGATGGATGAGATCAAATGGGCTAAATGGCCTGTTCGTCTGAACCTCTATTGTCATTTTGTGTGCGGGTGGGATGGGGGGAAGAAAATAAGTTGTTGCTTGATTGCTTGCAGTTGCTGTCGGAAATGTGTGAAGCATTTACAATGTAAAACCTTTCATTTTTTCCAGCAGACTTGGAGCCTGTCGACAGCAATGGCAAGGAATGTGAGTGGAATTTGTTGAAAATGCCAAGGGATTATGGTAATGGAATGAACAGCAAGTCAGGGGATCCCAAGGAGGATGAAAATGACCACACAAGACATTCGACGAACACGGAAAAACAAGGTTATTTCACACACAACGACCTTCTTTATGACATAAAGCATGATCTTCCTCAGAGTTTTTCAGGTGAAAGTAAAGATCATATGTGCTGTTACGAAAGGGATAATCATGTATCGGAGATCCAGCAATCCCCAACCCTGTCTTCTTTGAAGAGAATTGAGAACGAGCCTGCTCTGATGGAAACAAAACCAATTGGGCCATTGAAATCCATCCCCGTCTCCACCAACAAAAAGGTCACTTCGGATCTGATGGAAATGGAGCCTGACACCATGGAAACCAAGTCTGTGACAGAGTCAATAAAAATTGTTTCCCCAGTTTCTGCTACACGTTACAGGGGTGAGCCAGGTACTAAAGAGAATTGCACAGCTTCAACAGTTGGGAAATGCCGTACCGAGGGAGGAGAGATCACAAACCAATGTCCTTTGAATAATAACCAATCCAGAAAAGATTGCCCCCAAATTAATGAGTCAAATGTAATTCTGGAGCTTGGAGATAACTCCTTAGAGAATCAACCGAACAAGATCAGACAGTTTATAATACCTCAGGTCTGGATAATGATGAACCATACGACAATAACCAACAAACTGCAAATAAAACAAGCGAGGGACCCAATGAACAGCTCAAAGCAAATGGCCAAAGCAATATAGTCTCAGGAAAGGAGGAGTTGTTCATCAGCCATTCATTGGCAAACACATATCCAAATAAGACTGCAACGAGACAGACTCTCTATCAAGTTGGATCAGAAGAGGCATTGTTTGCCTTCAATGAAGAGATTAAGAACCGCGAAGGAATGGTACAAAGTTTCCAAGAAAAAGCCACCTATAGGATAAAATCAGAAATAAAATCATTGACGTCAAATGTAAAACATTCAAGGTTGCCAGAAAAATCGCGTTCAGATGAAAATATCTCGATCAGTAGAGGTTCATCTCGAACAAATGAGAAAAGCCCAGATATGTATTCTTTTGACATGACTAAGGTGCTTTCCAATTTAAACCGTGTATCCTTTAAGACATTCGGCATGGCAAAACATTTATCAGCACCCACCTTGCAAGGAAAAATGGAAATCCGCTCTGTACAGTTCCCTGCCATTTCAAAACTTGGTAGCAAATCCTTAGTTGACAATTTGGTTGATTCTTTTCCAAAAACAGAAGAAAATGCCAGAATGGCTAATTTCAATTCATATATTAGGGATGCAAATGACCCGGATCCACAGGTTGTTAATGGTCAATGCTCACCAACTGAATTCAGTATTCCTCAGAAAAATAAGGAAATAGAGAACGTTGAGATGAATGATTTTTCGGGGCATCTTTGCAAGATACAGAAACAGAGAATCAAACAAGTCTCTGAGTCTCTTCTACTCTTCCCACAAACCGATGTGGACAAGGTCAGTGGAGCACAGCGTTCAACACTTTGTTCACAAGACAAAGACCTTTCTCAGGAAATATGCTTGCCACCACGCACATCAAAGAAGCTGCACGAGGTAGAACAGCAATGCTCATTGACTCAGGAATCTTGTGGCAGAGAGCTGGTGCCTAGACTTCCAATCTCTAGTCAATTAGAATCCATACTAAATAACTCCAACAACTTTGAGCAGCCAGAGGATCAACTGGACAGCAGTGTTGAGTTTGAGAACTCTGTTACACTCACAATGGACTCCGCGGGTAATGAGCTGCCTGTGGGCGGGATGGAAGCCTGCAGTTGCCGGCTGGTTTACCAGAACTGCTTTAGGGGATCGGTCAGTGACGTTAATGATGACAAAAAAGATCCAGAACCTTCCACGGAATCCCTGTCGCCAAGGACCATTCCACCTTCTTCCGGAAGTCCGTTATCCGAGTACCATAACACTTTTACGAGAAAGAGTGACGAAACTGTGCTCAGTGGCTGTCTTCCCGGTCACCTTGAAATGAACAGTACAGTGGGAGGTGTGAAAGAGAAAGATAGTCTTCTGTCACAGTTCAAAGATAAAAGATATAATATGCCAAGTGGGTTCACTTTGGTACAGAATGATATCGCGGAACTATGCAAGCTTTTGAAGGAAGATTACAGAGCAAGTCACACAGAAGGAGATTGTGCAATACTTTCCTCAAGAAACAAGCAGACGCTGTACACTGAATCCAGGAAGCTGATGTCCACTTGTCAGAAGGCCGTCAAAATAGATCAAACACCAGACCAAATGCTTATGGGGGTTTCTGAAAGTTTCCAGACCCTTGCACGACTAACAGCAACATGTCTCCGGTTCACAACCTGCATGCGTTGCATTGAATGTCACACAGAAGTAGTCGCTAACCTGAAACGGGTTATCTGTATTTATAAAACATTTGTACGAGCTTCTGAAAATGCATGTGGCAAAGAGTTGGATGATATGAGTGTCAAGTTACTGGCTCGAGAATGTACTGAACTGACTGCTAGTGTGTTCTGCCTCACCCGGCTGTTCACAAGTGCTCCACCTTTGTAATATGAAACGACCATGTTTGTAAGGTTTTTGAGCCATGGAGGAACGCAAATAAATGTTGTTAAAATAAATTCGGAAGATGCTGCATAAAAGCCATTCCACAAGTCCAGAAATCCAGAAGTTGCCTAACAGCTCAGAAAGTGGGTTACAGAACTTTGAGAGCACCTTTATCAAACAGAAGGCACGTAATATCAATGATATAATGCTACTGCTCACCAAGTTGTCGATGCCATGCAATAACCATTCAGTAATTTTAATGAAAGGCTACCTCTTCCAGCATTTGCCTGTCGAACTCCTGCAAAGCATCAGTCACTTGTATTTTGTGAAGATACCTCTTGGGGAGGGGTTGATCACTGTGAGTTGCAATTCTGGCTTTTCATCTGTGGGGCTTAGTTTTAAAAGTTCGGTCCAGAGTAATGGGATGAAAGTCATCTTTCTCTGCTGTGTCAGGATCCTAAGTGAATGGGGTTAGAGACAGTGGAGGCTCCTGTCTTTAATAGGAGTAACGCGAAACCATTAAATCACATGTGATATCCAGGCTAGTCTCAAAAGGGGTTGAGATTCCTACGTGATAGCCAAAAGAGACAGAGCGAAACAGAAACAAAGACCCTTTTTGAGGCTAGCCTCTCACCTAGCCTGTCAGACTATTTTGTCGTAAAATTTAAGATTGTACGGAATCGTGGAAAAATCATCAATCGAATTTTAATTTGGAAGCCCCCGGGTCCTTAAGAAGAATTTTCCACAATTCTACACAATCGTAGAATTTAAGATGACAGCAACGGCAAACAATCTTACGTTTATACATCGCCTTTCCCATCGAGAACCTGAGCTGGGCTGGGGGGAGGAGCTGTGGAGGGGGGTTGTTGAGAAGCGTGGGGGCGGGAGCTGCAGTGGGATAGCGGGGGGCGGTGTGGCGGGAGGTGGACAAAACCAGAAAGGTAGAACTTTAAAGGTGGAGAGGGAGGGGTGAGTTGAGGCTCAGTGACGGAGCGGAGGCCAAATGGCCTAACGCTATCTACTGATGATGGGTCAGATTGGGCGGTTTCTGTGAAGCAGGCCAGTGCTCACTGAGCGAAGGGAACAGCTGGGCAGAACAGGTGGTCCTGCCGGAGGTTGCTGCTGATAGAGTGGACATCACTGTGGAGGGATTTGAATGTAAAAACTAGGATCATGGATTCAGTCCACTGGAGAATGAGTAGCCGTGAAGGAGAGGTAAAATAATCTTATATGCTAAGACAAGATGGAATCTGGGCCCCTTATCTCTCTAACTGAGTCTCTAATATTCGCTCTCTTTCCTCTGTGGCTTTCTTTATCCCTGTGTACAAAAATCTCAACAGTTACCTTCGCATTAGCTGGCAAAGCAAATCCAGTTGTGAGCACGTGCGAAGTTGCCAGCAAGCGAGGTTATTAAGGATGGAAATGAGTGCCAAAGCACAAGTAAATCCTGTCAATAATAACCTAGCAAATTCACACCTGTGCATTCACACCTGGAAGTTGAATTTTATTGCCTAACATGACGGAGGGGGTTGGCATTCTGTCGCAAGAGCCAACAGCAAGCCAATGAGGCTTAGCTTCTTTCACCTCTGATGGCTGACCACCACTGATTTCGGAGAAACTCACTCAAGTTCCTAGAGGGGTTCAGGCCATGACACAAAACTGCCCATAATTTTGCATTAATTATTAATCTTACTCAGAAAGCCAAATGGGTGGGTGTTGTGTATATGAGAGTCAAAGAGAGAAGGTGATGTCAAGGTGGTGCAGGATTACTGTTGCATTAGAAATTACCTTTGCATTACAGGAAAGATATTAAGGCGCTGGAGGTGGTACAGAGGAGATCCACCAGGATATTGCCTGGAATGAGGAAATACAGTTCTCGGGAAAGGCTTGATAAATTGGGGCTTTTTATTTTGGAACTCAGAAGGCTGATAGAGGACACGATTGGAGGTTTAAATGAGGTGGTAGGGAAAGATTATTTCAGTGGTCAGGGGGTCAGAAGACAGTTAATTTTAGGGTAAAGGCTTAATGAACCACGGTGTGATTCAAACCTGTTCAAACTTTCGATGTGACTGCATTCTATTTATTGGCATTTCATGGCTAGATAGCTAATCGCTCTCTCAGGTGACGAAACAGTAATGGAGGTAATACTATCGTTCCACAAATGCTAGCATTTGTCAGGTATAGGTGTATAAAACATAGCACAAGTCCTACAGGTTTACTGGTTTGTTCTGTGGGATCCTTTAGGATTTGTGGACAAAATGTCGGTATTGTAAAGAATGAGATGATAGTTTTCAATCAGTGTTGAACATGTTATACAGGCTTTTTTTTGTTCTTTCATTCATGACTCAAAACCCCAACAAGCTTACTGTTGATACTTTGCTGGGATAAAATTAAAAGCATGTAACATACTATAACAGTCTCAACTAAATGTATGGGTCGTTTCGTGTAGGCATGCACGCAAGTATCCTGCTGTGTGTGTATATTAAAAGCATACATGTAAAACAGGGATCCCATTTTATATTTTTTGTGACTTTGCAAAACTGTGCTCACATTATATGATCTACTGCAAATGCATTTTGCAACACTGCTTTCTTCCTCCATTTTTTTCTTCTGTGCCACCTCTTCTGAAGTGGTGGCTTCATTGGGCAGAAACAACCTTGTACATAGGCTATTCTTCATTTTACGTTTGGGCAAATAGTGAGCATCTCACTGTATTTGACAATGGGAGCCATTGCAGATAACTAAGCCCTGCCTCATTCACATAATCACATTCCCAACAGCAGTCCCTGGATAGCAGTCAATAATGGAAATTTGGGTTGATTTTCCTCCTCTCGCTCAGCAGCTGTCTCTGTACGTATCAGGAGACAATATGGAGTCCTGCAGCTCAGTGGTTAGAGTACTCGCTTTGCAAGCGAGAGACCTGAGTTCAGTTCCAGGCAGGTCAGGGCGAAACCTTGGGCAAGTTTCCTTACTCCACACACCTAATAATAATCCCTCCAAAACCAAAAACGATAATAAATTGGTCATTTTCAATCTACGACTGTTTGTGGGACATTGCTGTGCGCAATTGGCTGCCGCGTTCGCCCACAAATATACAGTCAATTCACTTTACAGTGTGTTCTGTGCAGCGCTTTGGGACGTCCTCCCGACGTGAAAAGCGCTATATCAAATGCAAGGATTATTATTATTATATGTAAGTGCGAGTTGTTGTTGTTGCTGAAAACTTCAGTTTCTATGCTAAAATGTATACAGCAGCGCAGAAGTCAATGCTAAACTGTATCCTGTCGCAAGTGATCCTAGATGCACGTAAAACAAATCAAGATGAGATTGTCATTTAACTGGCTTTCACAACACAAGCAAATAACATTGTGATGCTACGTGAATGGGTTGCTTAAATTAGTTAGTGGTCATCTTCAGTTTTTTATGTGCCACACAAATTCAGCTGAGTTCAAACTGCTGTAAAAGGAGTCATTCGATTGGCACAATGTTCAATCAGGTGTTGAGAATCCTGAATAAACTATATTTTCTGTAAATGGAAATCGAGCTAATGTGTGTCCTTTTCTGTTTCCACTTACAAGCAAGTCTGCTACTTTGTGAGGGAGGGAAACACTGGGGAAATGCTTAAACCAAAGAATTAATGTTTCACAGAGCGTTGGAAAAGTGCCAGTCCTGCAAGACGTGAATGTCTTTGATCTGTTGGAATTTCATTTTCTTTCTTTCCATGAACTGAACAACAAGTATTCTCTGTGGCCACTCAGGATGCTAAATAAGAAAAATACCAGAATCTGCTTCGCTCAGAGCAGAACATAGCTGTTGTCAGTTGTGTCCTATAATGATCCAATGGTGAATTATTCTTCGTAAAAGAATTTAGAAATATAATTATACATTGTAGTCATAGAATCCTACAGAACAGAAGGCGGTCAATACATCATATTGTTTTAGAAGTGGGCACTCTATTCCCGAATTCAAGATCCTCATCCTCACCTACAAGGCCATTCACGGCCTCGCTCTCTCCTACGTCTCCGACCTACTATCCCCCTACCTACCTGCCCGTACCCTCCGTTCCTCCGGCTCCGGTCTGCTCCACATCCCCTGCCCCAACCGCCCTACCATCGGTGGCCGGGCCTTCAGCCTCTCAGCCCCGAGGCTCTGGAACTCTATCCCCAGTGCCTTCGCCGCCTCCTCCCTTTCCTCCTTCAAGGTCGGTCTCAAGACCTTTCTCTTTGGCCTTCAGCCTTCAGCTCCCCTCGCAACTCTCTACCCCCTCCTCGCTCCCTCCCTTCCCTCCCCTCACCCTGACCATTTCCCCCCAAAGCTCAGGTCCTGACCCAACTGTACAGGGCCTTGGGACGTCCTCCCGACGTGAAAGGCGCTCTATAAATGGAATCTTGTTGTTGTTGAAAGTGTGCCAATTTACTAAATTATTGCATTGAAAGAAATGTGCGAGGATAATAAAGAGGCTGAATTCTTGAAACTGCACATTGATTCTGCACTCCACTATTACATTGTGGACAGCACTTATAGGATTGCAAAGTGCAAATTATAGCTGCGTTTAGTGCTCATTGCACTTTCCTATCATAAATAAACCACGTGACAATAATTATAAATGCTAATAATTGACTAGAAAGGAATGGTAAAGGGAATCAAAGACTTGCTGCCTTTAGATTAATTCTCTGTGGCCCTATTCTTATGTAATGTCATTTCCGATCTCATTATTTCACATACTTATATTTTGTTTCCAGTCAATTGTTGCGACCCATGCTCTTTTTTTTTATCGCGTGAATTATACGTTCCTTTCAGGTGCACTCTGAAAGTCGTGATCCTTCACTTCTGTCGAGGATACGAGCCAGGTCAGAGCGATATCAAGGGCAACCCACAACACTTTATTTATCTTAATCTACTATGTATTCAAAGAACCAATAGTCTACAAACAGAATTTCCCGAACGCAGCACAGCGACGCAAGAATAAAAAACTTTAGCATCGCATGCAATTCATATTTTAAGACTACTGAGCTTAAAAGAACTTTAACATAACATGCAATTGTATACTTTAAGCGCCTACTGTGCCTCATTAAATGGAGCCTGCCTGGAAATCACTGACTGTTTCTATCAGTCAGCACTTCCCAAAACATACCTCAACTCAATATCTCCACAAGTGCCCGTAACCTTTCTCGTTCTCTCTCTTTTACTCCTAACTTGTTCCTTGCTTCATTCTAATCAGGACTTCTGTCCGTGTTCCATCTGTTTATCTTGTTGCTTATTCCCAGCCTAGTGCTGGTCAACAGGACTATCTCTGGGCACGCACTCCATCCGTGATATGGAGTGCAATTGCGGTATCTATCCACGAGAAGGGTGACCCTAGTGAGACTGAGAAATATAGAGGGATCTTGCTGATTTCAGTGGGTTTTAAGGTGGTGTTTTGGATAGTCACATACATGTCATACACATTGGAGACTCATGCTTTGATCAGGAAGGAGCAGACTGGCTTCTGTTCTCGTGACGAATGTGTGGAACAGGTTGTGGCTTTGTATGAGATCTCAGAACTTTGTAAGGCTGAGGGGAAACACAACTACATTGCCTCCCAAATGCAGAACCATGGTTCTATACGGCTCAAGAGGAGACATCAAGGCTTTTGATTCGAAGATACAAGGGGCAGCAGTCCCGATCGATAATCCTTATCCGTGCTTCAGGGTCGTGGTAGATATCAACTTTTCTTAAACACTGACCTGAAGGACTTCACAGAGAAGGAGCAAAGCACACTCTGGTTGTGCTCCTCTCTCTCAAGGACAGCAAGGTCCCAGTACAGGTCAAGCTTGTGGCATACAAGACCTGTGTGCAAACAGTTCTCCTTTATGGTCTGAGCTCCTGGGGATTCAGCCGAGAGGTTCCGTCAGGCCATTCGTGTAGTTCAGGATGAAGCAGTGAGGTGGATTTGTGACAAACACGGGAAGCAGCTGCAGGGAGGGAGGGCTCTGGTATACACTGACCTGTCACTATGCACACTATAGGCGGAATTGGCTTTGCAGCGGGTACGTCTACTTGCCCAGGCTCCTCACAGGAGGATCTGGATTAGGGTAAGTGGTGAATAAGTCTGATACGTGACACAGGACTTGGACCTCGAGAACACAAAGATGGCTGCCACATCACAACCTGACGTAAAAGGTCCTTACTGAGAGGTAAGTAGCTGGCAATGTCAGTTGAATATCAACAAGACTGAGGCCTCCCTGTTTGGCTCCCATCAGGGCCTCCATAACTCGGCCCCTGAGAGCATCACCCTTCATGGATGTACTCTACACCTCATGGAACCAATATGGAACCTCAGCATCCTGTTCGACCATTCCCCACATCCGTGCCATGACCTGCTCTGCCTTTCCGCACCTCCGCAATATTGCCCGGCTCCACTACTGTCTCTCACCGCAGGCCGCTGAGACCCTTATCCACACATTCATCACATTGACTACAAAATCTCCCTGCTTGTCGGCCTCTCCAATTCCTCCCTCCATAGGCTGCAGATCATCCAGAACTCTGTAGCCCATGTACTCTCCCTCCGTGACCCTATCACCCGCATCCTCACCCGACTCCACTGACTCCCCGTCACTCAGAGGATACAGTTCAAGATCCTGGCCCTCCCCTTCAAAACCCTCCACAGCCCTGCTCCTCCCTACCTCTATGACCTCCTAAGCCCCTACCAACCTGTCCCCTCCCTCCGCTCAGCAGACCCCGGCTGGCTTTATGCTCCTGCCTTGCCACCATTGCCGGGCAGGCCTTCAGCCTCTCTGTCCCCACTCTCTGGAACTCCATCCCACAGTCTCTCTCCCTCGCCCACTCCCTTGCCTCCTCTTTGACCCTCCTCTTTGACCGTGTCTTCGGTCACCCTCCTGCCTCTACCCTCCCCACCCTCCACCCCTCCTGATGCCAACCAGCTCAGGTCCGGCTCCCTGACTGTCCAGTGGCTTCGAAACGTCCTCCTGACATGAAAGGTGCTATACAAATGTAATTTGTTGTTGTTGGCAAGCATCAAATGGCAAGCTACAACTGGTTAGAAGACTCCAGCAGTACATACACTCTGAAGTCCCCAAACATTAGCCCCTGCCAGCCTTTGCCTAATAGTCTCCAGAATTAGGTAAGCAGGACACGTTCTACCAGGGAGAGAGTGTGGTGCGCATCCATCACAATAAATATAACCGGGATTCAGAATCCTGCATTGTGCCTCATTCCTTCTGCTCCACCTTGGGCGGCCGGGCTTTACTTCCTTAGGACTCTGGAGCTCTCTGCCTCCATCCATCTCCCTTGCGCTCTCTTTGCCCATCTTCAGATTATATCGGAAGACCTTCCTCTTCAAGTGTGCCAAGACGTCACCTCGTGTGAAGGGCGCGCAATAATTGGGAGGCAGTTGTTGCGTGGAAATTGTCTGCTGCTTTTTGTCTTCCAAGAATACTGTGACGACGCTGAGCGGTGATGATTATTATTATTATTATTATTATTAATTACTCTGCGGTCTTCAAAGACTTTTGTTATGACTCTGATGAAGCGATGCACCACATCAAGTGGTGGAGTCCTGTAGCTCAGTGGTTAGAGCACTCGCTTTGCAAGTGAGAGACCTGAGTTCAATTCCAGGCAGAGGGTGAAACCTTGGGCAAGTTTCCTTACTCCACACAGAGCCTAATAATAATCCCTCCAAAACCAAAAACAATAATAAATTGGTCATTTTCAATCTACGACTGTTTGTGGGACATTGCTGTGCGCAATTGGCTGCCGCGTTCGCCCACAAATATACAGTCAATTCACTTTACAGTGTGTTCTGTGAAGCGCTTTGGGACGTCCTCCTGACGTGAAAAGCGCTATATCAAATGCAAGGATTATTATTATTATTATTATTATCAAATGATATCGCGGCACAAATTTACGATCGTGCTGCGCGCCGGCCTTCCGGGTCGGGACGACAGGCTGAGTGACGACACAGGATGGTCCCGGCTTGGCTCGGCTCGGAGCGCCAGCCGGGGGGCCGGCGGGCGGGGGGGGAGAGGGGGAAAGAAAGATGCCCGAAGGTGCGCTCGGAGAGGGAGATGTTTCAAGACTGAGGCGGAGAGATACAGAGGGGAGGGGGGCGTCGAGGGGTCCGGGGTGTGGAGTGGGGGGGGGCGGCGAGGGGTCCGGGGTGTGGAGGTGGGGGGGGGGGCGGCGAGGGGTCCGGGGTGTGGAGTGGGGGGGGGGGCGGCGAGGGGTCCGGGGTGTGGAGGGGTGGGGGGCGGCGAGGGGTCCGGGGTGTGGAGTGGGGGGGCGGCGAGGGGTCCGGGGTGTGGAGTGGGGGGGCGGCGAGGGGTCCGGGGTGTGGAGTGGGGGGGGCGTCGAGGGGTCCGGGGTGTGGAGGGGGTGGGGGCGGCGAGGGGTCCGGGGTGTGGAGGGGGGGGGGCGGTGAGGGGTCCGGGGTGTGGAGTGGAGGGGCGGCGAGGGGTCCGGGGTGTGGAGGGGGGGGGGGCGAGGGGTCCGGGTGTGGAGTGGGGGGGGGCGAGGGGTCCGGGGTGTGGAGTGGGGGGGGGGGGGGGTCCGGGGGTGGAGGGGGGCGGCGAGGGGTCCGGGGTGGGGGGGGGGGGGGGGGGTGTGGAGGTGGGGGGGGCGAGGGTCCGGGGTGTGGAGGGGGGGGGGCGGCGAGGGGTCCGGGGTGTGGAGTGGGGGGGGCGGTGAGGGTCCGGGGTGTGGAGTGGGGGGGGCGAGGGGTCCGGGGTGTGGAGTGGGGGGGGGGGAGGGGTCGGGGTGTGGAGGGGGGGGGGGGGGGCGAGGGGTCCGGGGTGTGGAGTGGGGGGGGGCGAGGGGTCCGGGGTGTGGAGTGGGGGGGGGCGGCGAGGGGTCCGGGGTGTGGAGTGGGGGGGGGCGAGGGGTCCGGGGTGTGGAGGTGGGGAGGGGGCGGCGAGGGGTCTGGGGTGTGGAGCGGTGGGCGGGGCCAGCCTGGCGATGGGCGGGACCGGTCGGGCGGTGGGCGGGGCCGGTCGGGAGGTGGGCGGGGCCGGCCGGGCGGTGGGCGGGGCCGGCCGGGCGGTGGGCGGGGCCGGTCGGGCGGTGGGCGGGGCCGGCTCCGGGACGGATGCAACGCGATGACGCGCGGTCGGCCGCTCGGGCGAACGTGCGCGCGGTTGACGCGGCGACGCACGGGTGACGCGGTGACGCGATGACGCACGGAGCGATGGGCAGCGGACGTTGGCTCGGGAAGGGGGAGGGGTCGGGTAACGGTCGCGGCGCGAGGCGCGGTGGGAGTGAGGAGAGCGGCGGCACCGGGCCAGGCCGGGCCGGGCCTCACACAGCGACAGCGGGCAGCCAGGCCTCAGCCAGGCCCCGGCCGGCAGTGTCCCTCCCTCCTTCCCCCCTGCCGAGTGAGTGAGGGAGGGAGTGAGAGAGAGAGTCCGGGGGCGACAACAGCACCAGGTCAGCTGTCGGCGAACCTCCCTCCGCACAGGCACCGAGACCGAGAGAGACTGAGGGGGTGAGGGACAGAGACAGAGAGGGTGAGAGTGAGAGACTGAGAGAGAGGGTGAGACAGACTGAGAGAGAGAGCGAGAGACTGAGGGGGTGAGAGACAGAGGGTGAGACAGAGAGAGTGAGAGATAGACTGAGAGGGTGAGAGACAGAGAGAGAGAGAGACAGAGAGAGAGAGACAGAGAGGTTGTGAGAGAGAGAGAAACTGAGACGGAGAATGAGAGACTGAGAGAGAAAGACTGTGAGGGTGAGAGACGGGCGGTGAGAGGGCGAGAGAGAGTGACGTGGTGAGAGAGTGAGAGAGAGTGACGTGGTGAGAGAGTGAGAGAGGGTGAGAGAGAGTGACGCGGTGAGAGGGTGAGAGAGAGTGACGCGGTGAGAGAGTGAGAGAGAGTGACGTGGTGAGAGAGTGAGAGAGAGGGTGAGAGAGAGTGACGCGGTGAGAGGGTGAGAGAGAGTGACGCGGTGAGAGAGAGGGTGAGAGAGAGTGACGCGGTGAGAGGGTGAGAGAGAGTGACGCAGTGAGAGGGTGAGAGAGAGTGACGCGGTGAGAGGGTGAGAGAGAGTGACGCAGTGAGAGGGTGAGAGAGAGTGACGCGGTGAGAGGGTGAGAGAGAGTGACGTGAGAGGGTGAGAGAGAGTGACGTGGTGAGAGGACGAGAGAGAGTGACGCGTTGAGAGGGTGAGAGAGCAGGTGAGCGAGAGTGACGCGGTGAGAGAGAGTGACGCGGTGAGAGGGTGAGAGAGAGTGACGCGGTGAGAGGGTGAGAGAGAGTGACGCGGTGAGAGAGAGGGTGAGAGAGAGTGACGCGGTGAGAGGGCGAGAGAGAGTGACGCAGTGAGAGGGTGAGAGAGAGTGACGCGGTGAGAGGGTGAGAGAGAGTGACGTGGTGAGAGGGTGAGAGAGAGTGACGTGGTGAGAGGGCGAGAGAGAGTGACGCGGTGAGAGGGTGAGAGAGAGTGACGCGGTGAGAGGGTGAGAGAGAGTGACGCGGTGAGAGGGTGAGAGAGAGTGACGCGGTGAGAGGGTGAGAGAGAGTGACGCGGTGAGAGGGCGAGAGAGAGTGACGCGGCGAGAGAGAGTGACAGACTCACTCTCACTACGCTTACATTATAGGTAATCTGGACAGATTGGAAGAACCGTCCCATTCACTGCAGGTCTGGAAGGTAGGAGTCAATAAATCTGACCTTTTCCTGCTCTTTCGCTTCTCCTATTGCTTTCCACGGTTTAACTCAGTGTTAAAGTACATAGAAAAAACAGCACAGAAACAGGCCATTCGGCCCAACTGGTCTATGCCGGTGTTTATGCTCCACATGAGCCTCCTCCTGGCTCTTCCTCAACTAAGCCCATCAGCATAACCTTCTATTCCTTTCTCCCTCATGTACTTATATAGCTTCCCCTTAAATGTATCTATGCTATTCGCCTCATACCAAGTAATGCCTTGTTTTTCTATCCTGTTGTATCCTCTCTTCCTGTAACCAGGCCCGACTGTACTGAAACCTGTCAGTTTAATTTTTTTGAATGATACGGTTAAGTACTGTGACTCCCAGATACTGACGGTGTTTAAAATTTGAACAGCAGTGCCCACCATCTTCCAGACTCAGGTGTCTGTTTTGTTCTCTCTTGGCAGAAATAATAATAATGATCCTCGTATTTGATATAGCGCCTTATCACGTCTACGAGACGTCTCAAAGCGCTTCACGGAATATACTGTAAAGTGAATTGACTGCATATTTTGTGGGCGAAACGCGGCAGCCAATTGCGCACAGCGGCGTCCCCACAAACAGTCGTGGATTGAAGTGACCGAGGAATTGTTTCCCCCGGAAAAGTGATCTTCGAATCGACTAACAACGGGGTTCCTACTTACTGCTACGTAAGCAGAGGTGTGTGGAGTAAGGAAACTTGCCCAACGTTTCGCCCTGCCGGGAATCAAACCCAGGTCTCTCGCCTACAAGGCGAACGCTCTAACCACTGAGAAATGGAGCATTTCAACTCTGTAGACTGGGGAAAATTTAGCTGGAGAGTGGTGATAGGGGCTGTGTGTGTGTGTGGGTGGGTGGGTGGAGGGGCTTCACTGGCTCCCCATCCCCCAGAGAATCGAGTTCAAAATCCTACGCAACACCTTTCCACCTGTAACCTGGTCTGACTGTAGTCACTGTCATGTGCTTTATTTGAGCAGAATTGTAACAATGGTTTTGAAAGGAGGAATTTAGGGGGAACTGTGCCGGAAGAGGGCAAGATTATGATATCATCTAATGGGATGAGAAGTGGCAACTGGATGTACAGAAACTGCGTGAATAGGTTCAACAGGGCAGATGGTGGAGCTCATGAGGGAGGATGAGGGATGTTCAAATGTGTGTTGGGCAGGGCAAGAGGTGGAGGTAGAGGACATGGAGGCAGCTGAGTGAATCTTGTCATTTGTGGGTTCCAGGAAGTCAAGTCTGCTTCATGTACCCCGCCTTGCCCGTCCCACTATTGGTGGGCAGGCCTTCAACCTATTTAACAAATGGAGCTGACTTGTGGGGAAGGATAGCCGTTCAGATTTTCACAGGGTTGCGAGTGTTGAAGGTGGAGGGAGGAGAGTTATTGAGCAGATCAATATAGATGCATGGTGACTGCTGATCAGCAATGACAACTCTGGATGAATTTATACAAGGTATTTATGCTAATTTATACAATACAAAATAACATTTGGGTAGCGCCTTTTACGTCGGGAGGACGTCCCAAGGCGCTGGACAGTCAGGGATTTGGACCCGAGCGGCGGGTAGGGCGGCGTGGAGAATTGGGATAAGGGAGGATAAGAGGGTAACCGAAGGCACGATCGAACAGGAGGCTCTTGAGACGTGCCTTGAGGGAGGCAAAGGAGGAGTGAGACAAGAGGAATATGGGAGAGTTCCAAAGGGTGTGGGCGGAGAGGCGGAAGGCCCGATCGCTGATGCTAGGGCTGGCCAGGCGGGGGGCGGGGAGCAGGCCGGAGCCTGCTGAGCTCCATTTATCCATTGAGTGAGTGTATTCAGTGAGCAGTTCAGTAATACCAAGGTTCAATGCCTACCTGTGTTGGTTTACTTCATCTTAACCAGAGCACTACTAAAAAAAACAGTCGGGATCTCAACCTCGATCACTATCTGGCAACCTTACTGTGCGGGTGTGTGAGAGAGAGAGAGAGAGAGTGTTAAGTGAGTCAGGCTTTAACTCGGCTGTGATGTTCCATAATGTGGAATCATTTGGCAAAGGCCGTTGACAAAGCTTACATGGAAACAGTTACTGCTTGTTAAAGTGGGGGCAACTAAGGCCTTTCGAACACTTTCCCAAAAAGATTCAAACAGCTTCAGGACATGGGAGAACATTGGCAGTGGAGAAAACTGGTTGCCTCCTCAGCAATATTTATCAGTGAGAATGCTTTATGGAAGTACTACGTGCATGTACATGCTGCTCTGCTTACTATGGTGTTCTTCTATTGATACATTTTGAACATACTCTTGTTTTTGTGGATATTTGCCATTATAATAATAATAATAATCCCTCCAAAACAATAATAAATTGGTCATTTTCAATCCACGACTGTTTGTGGAACACTGCTTTGCGCAATTGGCTGCTGAGTTTTGCCCACAAGTATATGGTCAATTCACTTTACAGCATATTCTGTGAAGCGCTTTGAGACGTCTAGAAGACGTGAAAAGCGCTATATCAAATGCAAGATTTATTATTATATTTATCCTAGCAACTGAGGTGCTCATCCAGAAGTACAGGTGAAATTAACAAACATTAAGTGCCTCAAACCAACTCGGTTGTTAGTCGATTGGCGGATCACTTTTCCAGGGATAATAATCCCTTCAAAAATAAGAAAAAGGAAAATTTGGTCAATCAATCTACATCTGTTTGTGGGACACTGCTGAGCGCAATTGGCTGCCACGTTTCATCTACAAAATGCACAGTACTGTACACTTTACAGTATATTCTGTTAAGCGCTTTAAGATGTCTCGAAGATGTGATAAGGTGCTATATATAAAATGCGAGGATTATTATTTATCTCTGACTCAGGCAGTGAATATAACTATTTGAAACATCTATTCTAACACAAAACTGTGTTGTCTGCCTTGACCAAAGATATAAGCAAAATCCTTTAAAAGTAGTTTTTTTTACTAATTATGTTAATTTTAGAATTACTGATCACATGAAACACTTCTTTGATTTTTACTTTTTGTAAATCGATCTTATTTACGAAAACCTGTGGAGAGAGACAAAGCACTGTGAAGAGATAGAAGCGCATTGTTTGGCTTCTACTTATAATAGATAACATTGTTTGTGCCCCAATCTTAGACATTGACGGTTGGTTATCAACTTGAAAACTATACGAATATCTAAATTGCATGAAATTCGTCTGTTTCTTTGGGGGGTTTTGTAATTGAGAGATGATGTGATCACAAAACAAGTGGCTGTGCTGTGGTAAACTTGATTTGGCTTCTTCTGTGAATGCTGTGATCAGCAGTTCTGTGTTGGGGGGGGGTGGGGGGGGGGGACTGAATGCGGATTCCTCCAAATTGTGGTGATGTGGGTTGGTAGCAGTTACTGTTTCGCTTTGAAGGACTTCGTGAAATAAATGATCACAAGGGGTTCAGATGAAGGTCATTTTGCTCTAACCACTGAGGTATAGGACCCTATGGTGATGGGCTTCCTTCCGCATGTGTCAGACCAAAGAAAACACACACACGTGCTTTTTCATAAATGAATGAAGGGTCATGGTGCTCTGTACTATCCTGGATTCTGCTTCGTACTATATTCTCAGATTCTTTTACTATCTCCAGTGTCCCCTCCTCCCTCTTGCTGGCTTGACTGTGCTCTTTTTCCTCCGTACATTGCACTTTGCTCTCTATAATCTCTCTGTATATCTTTATCCATTTGACTAATCAGCTACCTATCCTTAAAAGTGCCGAACTTCTGGCTCGTCAGGTTGCTGCTGACGTCACTTCCAGCATGAAGTGTTGCTGGTGTCATTTCTGACAGAAGCACCGCTGAAATTATTTGCTGTTTGCGTGCACAGAAAGTGAAGTCAACAAAGACCTGGAAGTTGGGCTTTTTTTGCACGTCTTCCCATACTACTGAGATATTAGACCCAGGCAGCTGTGTTATAGTAAGAGATGCTCTGTAATATAAACATAATTGGCAAAACTGAATTGAATGCGGTCTATCTATCTATCTATCTGATGATGCAAGGATCGGTAAGGAAGTAATGGCTTGTATACAGAGAGCAACCTCTGGGTAGACTGTCCAAGTGTGTTTGGAATCAGCGCCGTATCAAGGTTGCACTAAAATGAAAGTATTAAGCGTTTGTCCTTGCCAATCTCCTGTATGGATGTGAAACATGGACACTGTATAGAAGGCACACTCAACAGCTGGAAACGTTTCACACCTTACTTCGTATTAGGTGGCGGGAGAAAGGTCCTAACAATGAAGGAACGTGCTGTCAGTAGCAGCGTTGAGACTATGATAACAATGCTCAGCATATTTGGGCTCGATATGTCATTAGGATGAAGCAATATATGGTTGCAGAAGCAGGTGCTTTATGGCAGAAGAAAGCGGGGCAGACAACAAAGGCACTAGAAGGACACACTGAAGGTCATGTGAAGCAGTGCAAAATGGTCTTTGGCTCTTAAGAAACCCTGGCCGCCGATGGATGGCAATGGCAGGCTCAAGTAAGAGAAGAAGTGAAGGGCTTTGAGGAACAACACCATGTCAGTGTGGAAGCAAGACCTCAGAGACAGAAGGACTAGCAATGTCAGAGGGATTAACAGGAGGCCCCCCTCCAGGAACAAGGTTATGTGAGGCTTGTGGCAAGCGATGTCTGAGATGTATGGCCTACATAGTCATCAACACACCCATCTGCCGTGAACTTGTACTCCCTTAATTGTTGGCCCCGTCATCAGTTTCCCTCTTTTATCTATGACATCAATGGTTCTGTGAAAGTATTCTCTTAAAGTTACGAGACACGATCTCTCCCTGATCTGTGCTTATTTATCGGTTTGCTCAGTTACTCTGTCTCCGATGGTAGATTCTAGTAATTTGCTCACCACTAATGTTAAACTCAGCTAATAGATGCTTACTTTGCACCTCCTTGAAAAACAGAATGACATGTGTTGTTCTCCAACCCTCTGGCATAATTTCTGAATTTATTGAATTTTGAAAAATAATAATTAAAGCCTCTACAAGTTAGTCCATTATTTCCTTTAGTACCCTGGGTGGAACTGTCTGGGCTTGGAGTTTTGACTTGCAAGAGACTTATTGGTTTCTTCATTACTATTTTTCTGTTTATAATGAAGCCTTTAAGTTTCTTCCCCTTTCTGAAAGTTTAACCTTACCTGGTGCATCAGCCCCCGTTTCCACTGAAAAATTGAGGCAAAATGTTGATTCAACAATTCTGCCAGGTCCTTATCTTCTCCTGCTGTCACACCCGTGTCTGCTTTCAATGGACCCAACTCCCCTTTTACCACCCTCTCTCTTTTACTATCTGCAGTTTTTTTTTATCATATTCCCTCTTAGACTTCTGTATTTTCCGGGGATCCTTTTGGTGCTCTATATTCCTCCTAGTCTCACCACTGAACCTCGCTGTTCCATAGGCTTTTTCCTTTTGTTTACAACTTATGGTAATCGATTTATTTGACATGGTTGCTTCATACCTGCTAATTCTTCCCAATCCCTTCGACAACAACGACAAATTACATTTGTGTAGCACCTTTCATTTTGGGAGGATAAAGCCAAAATTGGCTTTAACTTCAAAACTTTGATTTGTGATCCACTTTTCTCCCCTTCAAAATCAATATTGAATGTTATATTATAACAACAATAATAATCCTTGCATTTGATACAGTGCCTTATCACGTTGAGACGTCTCAAAGCGCTTCACAGGATATACTATAATGTGGTTTTGACTGTGTTTTGTGAGCAAAACACAGCAGCATTGTCCCACAAACAGCCATAGAGCGAGTGACCAATTTTATTTGGGGGATTGTTGGCCAGCACACCGGGAGAAACTCCATTCTCTTTTCGAATAGCGCCAAGGGATCTTTAACATCCACCTGAACAGGCAGACAAGACAGTGGTTTAACCTCGCTAAAGGATGGCATCCCTGACAACGTAACACATCCCCAGCACTGCAATGGAGTGTCAGGTTAGACTACGTGATTCCAAGTCTTAACGGTGGAACATAGTAGTCTCTATTTTCAAGCTTCTCCCTTAACACCAGATGTTTGTATCTATTTGTGTCTCATTACTCACACGTCAACTATGGGCTGTTCACGTGTTGGTACTACGATGTGCTGCTGTTTTAGAAAATTGTCCTTCATCCATTCAAGTAGGTTCACAGCTATACCTCTCATTCTATATGCAAGTTAAAATCGTCCTTTATAATCATTTTTATCCTTACAAGCTTCCCCAAATCTGCTTCTATATAGGTTTCTCTATTATATCATCATGGTCACGAGGTCTATTATAAAGCTGCTTACCAGTGTTTTACATCCCTTCCTGTTCTACACTTCTTCCCACAGTGATTCTCTCTGTGGGTCACAGTCAGGTACAGTGGAATCCGCTTTTGACAGACGCGTTAAATCGAACAAAACGCCAGGCCCCGATTCACTTGTATTGTCACCTGTTTTAAACATGCCCGCTAATCCGGAAGAAATTCCGGTTACTCCGGGCAAAATGCTGTCGCTGAATGTACTCACTCGGCCCTTCTGTGTGTCCGTGCCTTCAGCTCCCCTCTCGACTCTCTTCCCACTCCTCGCTCCCTCCCTTCCCTCCCCTCACCATTTCCCCCCTCCTCGCTCCCTCCCTTCCCTCACCCTGACCATTTCTCCCCTCCTCGCTCCCTCCCTTCCCTCCCCTCACCCTGACCATTTCCCCCTCCTCGCTCCCTCCCTTCCCTCCCCTCACCCTGACCATTTCCCCCCTCCTCGCTCCCTCCCTTCCCTCCCCTCACCCTGACCATTTCCCCCCTGCTCGGGTCATGACCCAACTGTGCAGTGCCTTGGGACGTCCTCCTGACGTGAAAGGCGCTTTATAAATGGAATCTTGTTGTTGTTGTCCATTCAGCCACGAGGGCCCCCAGGATGTAGATGGGAGGAGTTAAATTGCGATTGACAGCGGACTCCAGCCATTCCCAAACGGCTGGAGTTGGACTGTCAATCAGTGAGGGGGGGGCGGAGGAACGGGGAAGAACAAGGGAGGGAAATCGCGATTGATTGACAGCTGAGCCGCTCGCGAATGGGTGTAGTCCATCCATTCACAAGCGGCCGCAGGCTGTCAATCACCCCAGAGCCACCGCTAATCGGTCCAGGTAAAAATATATTTAACTGAATTTTGTGAGTATCTTAACTTTAACTGGTTAGATAACGTTGCTTCAAGTGAAACAACATTAATACATATTATTATATGGCGACAGCGGGTTTCCTCTGCCGGGCGGGAATGGTATTCTGGCTAACCTTGGACACCTCTTAAGTCGGACAAAATGTCCATCCCCGGTGTGTCCAACTTAACCGGCTTCCACTATATTATCCCTCAATTTAATTTCCAGTATATTGTCTTTTATTAATAAAGCTACTCTTCCTTCTTTTTTGTTTTCCCTCGTCTTTCTAAAGAATCCATATCCTGGTATATTCAGTTTCCATAATCATGTCTCCAATCGCTATCACATCATAACCGTCAGGTGTATTTCAGCTTCTAATTCACCCACTTTACCTGTAATACTCCCAAGCATGTGTGAAAGTATGAAGCTTATCTACCTACTTTCACACTCTTATTTCCCCAACCTCCCTTATTTCCTCTGTTCTCTTTTATAATTGCTAAATGTCTTACCCCATTTCCCGCATTTTTATTTTATTTTTATTTCTGCATCCTTGTTTTGTCCCTTCTCTGCCATATTAGTTTAAATGTTTCCAAACTGCCCTATTTACCCTGCAATATAGTGCTTGGGGTACAAGCAATTAGCTGGTTAGAAAAGCAGAGGGGAACAGAGGCCTGGAGATGATTTTCAGATAAAAATATAATAATAATAGCGCTTTTTCACTACTTCTCAAAGTGCTTCACAGAATATAGTGTAAAGTGAATTGACTGTATATTTGTGGGCGAACGCGGCAGCCAATTGCGCACAGCAATGTCCCACAAACAGTCGTGGATTGAAAATGACCAATTTATTTTGGTTTTGGAGGGATTATTATTAGGCTCTGTGTGGAGTAAGGAAACTTGCCCAAGGTTTCGCCCTCTGCCTGGAATTGAACTCAGGTCTCTCACTTGCAAAGCGAGTGCTCTAACCACTGAGCTACAGGACAAAACCACTGATGGATTGGAAATTGAGGATAAGGATCTTGAAATAGTTTTGGGTTTCTTGCGAAGAAACGAGTCGGTGGAGCATACAAGGGTGCGGGGAAGCGAGAGGACTTGGGCATGGAGTTCTTCATTAAGTTTAAGAATGGAGTCCTGTAGCTCAGTGGTTAGAGCACTCGCTTTGCAAGTGGGAGACCTGAGTTCAATTCCAGGCAGAGGGCGAAACCTTGGGCAAGTTTCCTTACTCCACACAGAGCCTAATAATAATCCCTCCAAAACCAAAAACAATAATAAATTGGTCATTTTCAATCTACGACTGTTTGTGGGACATTGCTGTGCGCAATTGGCTGCCGCGTTCGCCACAAATATGCAGTCAATTCACTTTACAGTGTGTTCTGTGAAGCGCTTTGGGACGTCCTCCCCGACGTGAAAAGCGCTATATCAAATACAAGGATTATTGGTATTATTATTAAGAATGCAACTTTAGAGACTTGCTACTTCTCTTCCCCCTCGCCTGACCACTGATGGTGGACAGACAGGGTGGGTGGGGGGAATATGAAGCCCGCTGGTGCTTGATCGATTCAAAGGAATGGGCAGGTTGGTTTGGTTGAACAAGTTTGCAGAGTTAGGATACTGCAAGACAATGGAGGCATTTGAGGGTGAGGAAAAAGATCTTGAGCTGGACTCTTTGGGGGATGGGAAGACATTTGAGCCAGGCGGGGATGGGGGTGACTTTGACGAGAGCAGTTATTCTACTGTGGATTAGGTAGAAACCGGATTGGAGAGGTGCTGGAAAGGAAGCTGAGAGGCAACAACTCACTCCAGCACCTTGCTATCAGAAAACAGTACTGAAGCAGTTTTCTCTTGTTATATTGATATTTGTTTATTAAGCCCCGAATAGAAATATAACTACTGTATATACAGACATTTAGCCATGCTTATACTCTTTCTTATTCTACAGGATGATGTGGCTTACTGAGAACAGCTTTTATGGTACCAAAGGATAAATCTGCACTGAATTGAAAGGATAAGGAAGCCAGAGTATGTCAAAGGACGTTGTCCTCTCCAGGTCGAAAGACGAATCGACGCATACTTCCAGGATGGAATATGGCAAACATTATTTTTGTGGCTACTTTGCAGCTTTCACTAACATTGCCATCACTTTTCCCATCCATAAAGTATTGTTTCGTCAGCAACTCCACGGTGTAACGATGGCAGATGCCATACGACAGTTGCAGCAAGATGGTATGCGCAATTTGTACCGAGGGATTCTGCCCCCACTACTGCAGAAGACTACAACCTTAGCTTTAATGTTTGGTCTGTATCAAGACGTCTCCAGTTTCCTGAAGAGAAAGACTACTGCGCCTGAGCTGGTGACTCGCAGCGTAGCTGCAGTTTTAGCAGGGACTGCTGAGGCAGTCATGACACCATTTGAGCGAGTACAGACCATACTGCAAGACCACAGACATCATGACAAGTTCACAAATACCTTCCAAACATTCAAAGCTTTGAGATCCTATGGTTTCAAGGAATATTATAGAGGCCTTGTACCAATACTCCTTCGCAATGGACCCAGCAATGCCTTCTTCTTTGGTTTACGTGGACCCATCAAAGAATTTCTACCAGAAACCACTTCATATAGTGCTAATATGCTCAATGACTTCATTTGTGGGGGATTGCTGGGGGCACTGCTTGGAGTAATATTTTTTCCTATTAATGTAGTGAAGGCACGGATGCAGTCACAGGTTGGAGGAGAATTTCAGACTTTCTCGAGTGTCTTCAGGAAAATTTGGTTTGAGAGAGATGGCAAATTGTCGCTCCTTCTGCGGGGTGTGCACCTTAACTATCACCGGTCAATTTTATCATGGGGCATAATTAATGCAACCTACGAGCTTCTGCTTAAATTGATTTGAAGGAATATTGTAATTTCACTATTTGGAACACTTGTTTTGCTCAATCCTTCTTGTCTTAAACCAAAAGAGCATCAATTGTTGTGCAAAAGTTCTTTGCCATTTACTAATTCTATCAGTTGAATATACTTTGCAGCAACTTTATTTATACCGGGGGTGGTGGGGGGAGGAGAGGCAACTGACTTGAATTAAAGGAGACAAGGGTATTCGTTCGAAAAGTACTTTGGAACAAGTTTGGGACCATTCTGGAGATGCAATGCTTTTTCATATTGTACGGTAGTTGGTGGGGGGGGAGAGGAGAGATATATTCACAGACCACATGGCGAGTGATATATTTTCAAAATGATTAATGTGAAAACTCCATCAAATCTACCTCAGCGGATGTTTAGATCACTTCTTGATCACGAGAAATTCATGATGCTACATTTTATAAATTTCCCATATAACGTTACAAGCTCGTTCCCATTTTCGGTGCAAAATCCCACGATGATCTAAAGCTGTGCCCATGCAATCCTAAAGATGTTTTTTTTTAAAGAAACTCGTAATTTTTTCAAACTTTAAAAATCGGATGTTGGTTATTGATTAGTCCAGCGCCTTGTGACGTCCTCCCGACGTGAAAGGCGCTGCATAAATGCAATTTGTCTGTTGGTCTGTTTTATTCCTATATTGTTAAACTGTTGCTGTCTTAATCTACTTGTTCTACAGAATTGAATGCCAATAAATGTTTGGTGCATTTAATGTAGCGGTGAACATTTTGATCAGATTTTAATATGCCTTGTATCATGTGCCCAATACAGGCAGTAAGGCTTCATGATATTGAATATATTCCATCAATATGTTGTATATGTAACAGCTCAGTGGTGTGCAGTGTGTCTTGACAACTTTACCATTCACAGTCCAGAATTCTTTATCAATGCATTTTTCAATGTTAATACTTTATTAAATTTACTATCTTCACTCACTTTTGTTATAAAGACAGTATTTTGAAATGGTGTGAAACGTTGGTGCCCAAAATGCCCAAGTACTTTACTTGAGCCAGACTGGCAGTATGTAAAAGTGCTGCAGGGCTGATTATTAGTTTTAATTCCTTATAAATGTCTAGTTTGATCTTGAGTATGTATAATCACATTTTTGAAAATTTTCCTGGCTGAGAATAAAACTGAAATGAATTGTGCTCATTTCTTCTCTTGTTTGTGATCTTACTGCTGTTTGTCCTTCAGTATGGTCGTAAAATCTTACTCAACGGTTGGGGCATCGGGCAAAGCGCCACAGAACACTTTGTGAGGCTTGAATTTCACTTTTTCCTCTCCATTGAATTCCTGATTACACTGTTGTCTGAAGGCCAAATGGATCCCCACACACTGAGGGAGTGTCGTGTGTCTTGTCTGAGCTGCTGATTCAGAGCAACAACTCGCCTTTGGAGTTGTGTGCCTGTAAATATGTAACATTGTGTGACAAAGAGGGGATTTAATATTAATAATCCTTGCATTTGATATAGCGCCTTATCATGTCGAGACGTCTCAATGCTCTTCGCAGAATATATTGTAAAGTGAATTGACTATATTTAGTGGGTGAAACTTTGTAGAGGGTAAAACTGTAGGCAGTCGAAATTGATGTTAATGAGAATTGGTTAGTTGTGAGTTCATCTGATTTTGAAGACTGCTGTTTTCAGTTGTTGAGAATGTTTTCTTTCTATACCAATGGCCCATTTGTACGAACAGATTCAGTTGAACAGATGAACAGAGCTGTTACAGTGAATTTCCAGAGTACTTCTGTTGCAGGTTTATAATAATCCTTACATTTGGTTTAGTGCCATTCATGTCAGGAGGATGTCCTAAAGCACTTAACAAAATGTACTGTAAAGTGTGATGACTGTTTTTATGGACAAGCGCTTCCACAAAACAGGTTTATATGCATCCTAGCACAGGCTGAAGCTAGATTAAAAGCAAGAGATCACTGATTTAGTGAACACTAGAAATGAATTGTAGTATTTGAAAGGAGGACAAATAAAGGTCCAAGTTCTTAATTTTTAAGGAAAAAAATGCAATAGTAATTAAGGGTTTATGTACCGGGTAATCTTTATTTTTGAAAGGCGTGTCTGCAAATTATAAAGATATCTATTTTGTGGTCAGCTGGATGTCTGACGTGTGAAAACCTATTGCCGTGCGTAAGTGAATCCAAACCAGACAGAATTCCACATACGCTTTCAAATTACACACAGGAATCTCCCCATGTCTGGATTGGAATGCATTCTTCCTGGAGGGACACACCCTGATTACCTAATTCTGGAGAGCATTAACTATGGGTACAAGAGCCAAGGCTAGGAGACCTCAGAGTATTAAGATCCAGCTGGGGTTGCAGGTAAACCCATGATTCTTTTTTTCATATTAATTAGACCATAAGAAAACGCTTGCAGTTGATATAGCGCCTTATCACGTCTTCAATAGTCTCAAAACGCTTCACAGGATATACTGTAAAGGGAATTGACTGTATATTTTGTGGGCAAAACTCTGTAGCCAATTGCACACAGCAGTGTCCTACAAACAGTCGTGAATTGAGCGATCTAAAACATTTTTTTTAAGGAAAAGCGATCCGCCAAACGACGCCCCAGGGCAAATATTGCCTCAAGGCAATCGCTGCTCCGAGGCACTGGACAATTAGTGTTTCGGACCCGAGCTAGGGGCTGGGATTCGGGAGGGTGGAGGGCAGGGAGGGCAGAGGGTGACCAAAGGCACGGTCAAAGAGGATGGTCTTGAGATGGGTCTTGAAGGAGGCAAGGGAGGGTGCGAGGTGGAGGGACTGCGGGATGGTGTTCCATAGGGTGGGGGCAGAATTGCAGAAGGCCCGCCTGCCAATGATGAGGCTGGTGGGGGACGTGAAGCAGGCCGGAGCCCGCTGACTGGAGGGAGTGAGCAGGTTGGTGGGGTTTAGAAGGTTCCAGAGGTAGGGGGGGAGCAAGACCATGGAGGGCTTTGAAGGATCTTGAACTGTATCCATTGTGTGATGGGAAGCCAGTGGAGTCGGGCGAGGATGGGGGTGATAGGGTCGAGGAACCTGGTGCGGGAGAGGACATGGGCTGCAGAGTTCTGGATGATCTGCAACCTATGGAGGGAGGATTTGGGGAGGCCGACAAGGAGGGAGTTTGAGTAGTTGAGCCTGGATGTTATGAATGCGTGTATGAGGGTCTCGGTGGCCTGCGGTGTGAGACAGTGGCGGAGGTAGAGGAAGGTAGAGAGGGTCATGGCATGGATGCGGGGTAGGAAGAATAGTTGAGGGGCAAACAAGATGACAAGGTTCAGGACCAGCTTAATAGGGTGGAGTGTGATTCTCGGATGGTGATGCTGTCAGCACCTGAGGAGTAGAAGCGCTGACGGGAGCCACTCAGGAGAGCCTCGATCTTGTTGACGTTCAACTGTAGAAAATTAGCTCTCATCCAGGACTTGATGTCTGATGGATAAACACAACGTAATTTAAAGCAGAATGAACCAACAGCTTCTTTTCTCTGAGCTGAAGAAGCAATGCTGACATCACCAGCCCCAGCTCAATTAAACAACTTGACGAGGAAAATGTGTTCCTTTCAAAGCAGAATATTCGCACTGTGGTCGAATCTTTACAGCTTTGAATTCCAGGGCCACAAAACTATCAGTTCCCTTTAACAACACATTGTAAAATGGCTCCTTTCCCTCTGGAAAACTCACATTGTCTCGGAGCTCACTACGAATGCCCGCAGACAGGACAGATTAGAGAACAATATAAGACAAGATCAAAACGCTGCAGAGGAATTAGATGATCACAAACATAATCTTGATCAGCCTTGTGTAAACACCTCAAGAACCTGGAATTGAATCAAACCCTGGTCGGCATCATGAGGTTTCCACCACATAGAATCACAGGATTAAAAACACAGAAGGTCATCTGGCCCACCGTGCCTGTGTCGGCTTTCGGAGAGTGTTATCCATACAGTTCCTGTCCCATTTCTTTGGTAACTGAGTGCAGCTATTTCTTTTCCATCAACAGCCACATCTTTCTAACCTGTTAACAGGTTAAAAGAAGTAAACCATTCGATTTTTGTTGCACCCTTGATGCATTGAACGTTCATCCTGTTTGTTTATTTTGCCCGTCTCCTGCATGAAAATTCTTGGCTTGGAGATGCACTTGAATATTTAAATGGGGACAATATTTGGCTTGATAGCTGGTTGCAATAAGTATGAATCTCATGACTGACCGAGATTGGATTGTTTAAGAGTAAGTTCACTATAAACTCTGACCCAAAGAGTCTGCTGTTCCGTCTCACTTCATTCACAGTGGAATGAATGCGACTTGTGGGGAGACCAGACAGAAGCTCTGCTCCAGCTCCGAATGTTATTCTGCTAAAATCACATAGCTTGCCATTTAGAGCGCTCTCTGGCAAGCCTTCTCATTGCTTCTCAGCCCGACCCATTAGGGCCTTGGCTTGCAGGGCTAACAGGAGCCGAGCGGGAAGAATCCCTGTCACCAGTGACTGGTCTGCCCCTCCAAGTCCTGTTGACAAGCCAGGCTGGCTGGTCTGTCATCAGCAGTGCCCAGAAGAACTATGCCTCTGCCTGGCTCAGGAACTCAGCTACCAAGACCACCACGGAGCTGGTTGAGTTCTGATATTCAATCGCCAACAAGCCAACTAGCTCAGGCCCAAGGAGATCCTGCTTGCCTTTCCCCCCCCCTCCCCCCCACCCCCCTGCCTCCCCTCCCAGGAGAATAGTCACTAGTTGGTCAATAATCACCCGCAAAGCGGGTTTGAGCCCTCACCTCACTATAATAATAATAATAATCCTTGCATTTGATATAGCGCTTTTCACGTCGGGAGGACGTCCCAAAGCGCTTCACAGAACAAACTGTAAAGTGAATTGACTGTATATTTGTGGGCGAACGCGGCAGCCAATTGCGCACAGCAATGTCCCACAAACAGTCGTAGATTGAAAATGACCAATTTATTTTTGGTTTTGGAGGGGTTATTATCAGGCTCTGTGTGGAGTAAGGAAACTTGCCCAAGGTTTCGCCCTCTGCCTGGAATTGAACTCAGGTCTCTCACTTGCAAAGCGAGTGCTCTAACCACTGAGCTACAGGACTCCACTATGTGGTTTGCACGTAGCAGGAACGCCCTATGAACCTCTTAGTTCATAGCAGCTCAGCATGAAATTCCGTCCCCCTCCCTCCCCCTCCTGATCCTAACCACCAGCTCGGGTGCAGATCCCTGACTGTCCAGCGCCTCGGGACGTCCTCCTGACCTGAAAGGCGCTGTACAAATGTAATTTGTGGCTGTTGTGGTTGCTACAAAATACACAGTCATACACTTCACAGTTAAATTCCGTAAAGTGCTTTCAGTTGCTTTGACAATGTAATGAGGATAAATGCAAGGCTTATTATTATTATTATTTATGTGCAGGTCAGTCTAGATCTATTTGAGTAATATCATTAGTGGTATCATTCAGATGGATCTAGACGGGTCTTTAGTTTGTTTTCAATTGCAGCATTTGTCTAATTGCCTTTTAAAAGGCTTTGATTAATTTCAAGCTACATATTCTGCTCAGAGAAAGATAGATGTACAGGATCATTGCGATAAAATTATGGTCTGCTCTCAAACAAAGAGCTATCTAATTCTCTCTTGCACTTGTTGATCCACAGTACACCTCAACCACCTCTTCAGGCTTTCTGTTCATTCCACACGTTGGCTTTTCACTGAGACCTTGAAAGAGCCTATTTCGCAAACTCATTTTAAAACCGGCCGTAATCTCTGAATATGTCAAGATCCTGGCTTTCACCTTTAAATTCATCCCCAGCCTCGCCCCAGCCCCATCTCTGCGATATCCTACAACCCTCCCTTCACTCAAGCGGGTACCAGTCTGAATCATGTCCCCACCATTGGTGGGCAGGCTTTCAGCCATTCTGCACCCCCCCCCCCATCTATGGAACTCCATCCCAGACTCCCTCCCTCCCTCAGACTCCCTCCCTATATTTAAGACCAGTCTCATGACTTATATCTTTGACCAAACTTTCCGTCATCTGTCCGCAAACTTCAGCTGTCGTGCCCCCAGCTTTGATGCCCAGCCTTCAGTATAAAGTGTTTTGAGATATCCTCCGGATAAGAAAGGCGATATTTACGGTAAACCCCCCCCCCCCCCCCCAGTTTACGTCCCTAGCC